TAATGCGTTGATAGTGGTCAAACGCGGCTTGGAGGAGGTCGGCACAAGTTGGGAGTTCGGAGAGCTCGACGAGAATGGTGTGGAGTTCGCGAAGAACGGTCAGGTCGTGTGGAAACCGTTTAAGGATTGATGTGAACGCGTTGCGAGCCTGAAGGCAATGTTAAATGTAGTAATGAGATGAGTATGAACAAACTTACTGTTCGAAAATCCCCAATCTCCTTTGCCAACGATGCTCGATCCCACAACGCGTCGACATTTGTCGGGTCAAGACTATATACTTTTCGATAGCAGTATAACGCCTGTTGGTTATACCCATGTTCCCTTGACTGCCTCGCCAATCGATCCCACTCATCCGCATCGTGTCGAAGGTGAGCCGCCATGATCCTAAGCTGGAGCGCCTTCTGCCCTTGTTCCATATCTTCATAGCACTGTGCAAGGACAGACCAAGCACTCGCCGCGCGCGGTTCAATGCGTATGACTTCTTGCATCATCCGGATCGCTTCAGGTAAGTTGCTGTCTACATACGCTTGATTCCCATCACCAATAAGGGAGCGAACTTGTTGAGAGAGGACTGGCCCCGTCGTTCGGCCTTTCTGTGGGGGGTTTTAGCAAAAAAAACGAGGGTAGGCAAGTTCACTCGCCCGTTTGCGTTTCCGGCCAATACCTGAGACTTCCCTGAGGTCATCGCGAAACTCGGCCTCTTTCTCCTCGATGCTGAAATCCCAATCTTTTGTCAATCCGCTGCCGCTCGCGCCGTTGCTTGAAGACGTGTCCCGGAGTCGTATGTTCTGTACTAGACGACTGAAATTGCACTGATCAGCAGAATCGTGAGTTATAGAGAAACGCGCACTCGAACAATCTCCTTTATGCCAGCGTTCTGGCCTATTATCATGTTCCTCTGGATCCCTGTCATGACCTTAGCAAGGCGGAAGTTGTTGAAGCAATCAACGCAAAGAGGCACTGGTTAGGCTCGCGGTCATAGGCCGCAAGAAGATCAGCACACTGAAGCAGAAATATATTATTGACTTCAAAAACTGTTGCAATCATACACAGAAGAAACAAGGTGGACGAGCACAATCAATAATGTACGCACTTCACTCCTCGTCCGAATCCTTCTCAACAAACACATCAAATTCCCGATTCTCCAGCGTCGCAGAAGAAAGATAGTATTGATCTTCGACCTTTTGAATGCCGACCGAATCTCCAGTAAGCCAAGAGCTAGTCGCCAGAATGTAAATCATCTGCCGGTCGTCATGACCAAGAGGTAGGTTCTGATCCACTTCAAAGTCCTGCCAAGCTTGAAAGAACGGCGCCAAAAGACCGCCTGTAATGACCGTTCCCAAATTCGGATATTCGTAGATAAACAACAGCAGAGAAGCCAGGAAAGTCATCGAGTATTGCATTCCGCTCTCGGCAAAGTGGGCGAAGCGATATATGCCTTTGGATGGCTCGAGGTAGCCAGTTTCGAAGATGATGAACTCTAGATGGTGGGGAAAGCGGAGGAACGTGGCTCCGGCTGCTACGCACCAGGGTAGGAAGAAAAGTACACGGATTGCAGACATGGCGACAGCGTGGAGAACGAAATCGGGGTATCTAGGTTCGTGGTCATCGGTCAGAACGGAGGAAGGGGCTACTTTGGGATCGATGTTAGGCTCTCTCCAATTGCTGCGATACCTGTGCGATATCCGCGCCTTTGCCTACAGCCTTCAGATCAGAGTACGAGCTCACCGCTAAGCCGTTCCTATCTCTCGCAAGAGCCTCGTGTATGCCCTGATAGACATTGATGGGCACATCTTGATCCACAGGCGTCGTCAAAGCCGAGGTAAACGACGAATCGTCGGTCGCCTCTGAGTTGTTTCGCTCCATTTCCTTCAGCTGGATCAGACGGTTCTGCAACACGATGGAGTGAACGATCGCGTAGCTGGGCGAAATGGCGCTTACCTACTGTATCGTATCAACGCTGTTCGTTATCGTTGCCATTGCCAGCGGAGATGATGAGGGTAAGAGAGAAGAGCTGTCACGGCTTTGTCAGTGTCACGTCGGATTACAACCTAGCGTGATGTCACCCATCACCTTGGGTTTTTGAAGTCGTTTTCGCGTAGTCTAAAGTTTTTTCGAGCGCCTGTGGCGCTCCTAGCTGTGTAGGCAGTACTAGAAATCTTTGAAGAAGACCTATAACACAATCGAAGATTTTCCTGCAAGGACAACATTTCCCACAGTAAGTAACTCTTCACGTCACGTCTCAACGAATAATCGAAATAGGTCACGCCGATTAGGCAGTTGGTCGTGAATAGCTCAAGCTTTCGCATAGATGTCAGCCTCCATCTACACTCTTTGTTCTGATTCTATCACTGTCGCCTTTGCTACAAGCGATGACATCGATGATCGTTGACGCTGATCTTCAAACAGTCCGTGACTTTTATGACTCAACCTGGGCGGACATGCCCTTCACGAACATCCTCAACCTCGAAGCACTACTATTCCAGGCTGGCATTGGCTCTAGAGACATCTTATCATTCCTCGATGGAAATTCGCCCCTTTCTCATTTAGAACGCTTCTTGACCACTGCGAAGGACGGTTTGTATCTGAACGAGGAAGGAGGAACTTGCGAACCATTCGCGGTCATCACCGGGGAGAAGCTGGACAAAAACGAATGGAGGATGCAATACGTACACACTGGTAGCCATGGAGGGATGGTTGTTTGGAGAGCTCAATCGCCAACGAGGCGCTACTTGATTGATTCCTCGCTTCGTTCAGCGTTGGAGATACCTCTCTTAGCTGGTTTCCTATGGAGCCCTGGGCACCACCACGTATATTCAACCTACCTGGTCCGACCCCAATCGGCCACTCACTCTTCACCCGTCCTGCACTTCTCAGATTCGAGGATATATTACACGGAGAAAGGCAGTAGAACCGCCAAAGAATTCTCAATCGTCACCAGACGTGAAATACTTCGTAGGTCAATAGATGCGCTTGTCGGAAATCCGCATCCTGTGTTGCTTGTCCGGGATCGAGTCCGTAACACCAATCGGTTTGCGGTCTTCATTCGTTTCGATATGGTTACTCGGGCGGTCAAGTTTGCTGGATCCGGGGTAAACGCTCTCTTTTCCCTAACTAGCGGAGATGGACCTGACTGGGAAGAATTCTCTGATTTTTAACGTCTCCTGTACCACTACCACCGACGATACCCTCGGCAGCTCTCCCACGGCCTTTTTCGGCGGTTTACGCACATCGTGCTGACAATATTACTCCTGGAAGCGGGGGGCACATACGCTGACCTACCAAGTGACACACTTCTTGATCTTCTCTCTTCTGAAATCAGAAAAATATCAGATAGTTGAATGCAGTGGTACCGTGGTACGACTTCAATTCAACATTGAATATGTTTCCTTATACTGAATCTTATGTTTCAGCCTTCCGGGAGTTGATGCGGAAAGACTTCCTTTTCTATTTTTATATTCAGTAGTTACTAAAGTTTGTGTACATGCCAATGTTGGCACTGGCAGCGGTCCAGTCTAAATAGATAGAGGAGACGGTTCAAGCACTTCGCTCCAACGCGTCACGAAGGTTTCTTCCAACTTCATGATTACCACGACGTAGTGGGATCGTTGTGGGTCATTTCCGAATCTCTTTGAGCAGCCTATAATTATCTAGGGTGAAACTACTTCCCTCTAAACGCATCCTAACCGCAACTTTTTTCGTAGTCTGTAAATCTGCCGCCGATTATCATCATACATCTTCTCGTTGTGAGGCCCTCCAATGTATCTGCAACATCCCTGAACAAAGCGACCTTAATGCAATTGATGAACAGCCATTCGCCGATATTACGACGAGCACAGAAATTTGAATTTTTAACGTATCAACAGCGAATCAAGTAAGAAAGCATGTACACAGAAGGGACGATATGAAGAGGCGCGCCAGGCGATGCATTCAAATAATAAACAGAAGAGAAAAAAAGAGCAGCATTCGAGGGTATGTCGCGGTACTGAAACTGGTAAAAGCTGAGCGCTGAAGTGTGGTATAAATCTAGAAATGCGCGAATGAAATGATGTGATCCGCGAGCGGGAGAAGGGAATACGTGAGATTGAAGGCGGCAGTGCGTGAGAGGGAGAAGGGAAGAAACGAGGGCATCAAGCAGGGCAGAGTTTAGACTGAGAACACAGTTCTTGATCAGGTAGTGTGGTGAGTACGGGCAACGAGTGGGTCAAGCAACAACCGTCTACTCGATATCATCGAGGGACAAGCCCCTAGCGGCAAGCTCGCGCTCGTACAGCTCAATTTGTGCGTTTCGCAAGTGACAGAACTCATCGCAGTGCACGGGAGTGATGTCGTCGACGGTGGTGGTGTTGTCAGCTGCTGCGAGGTCGCGGGCAATAGCACGGTGGGAGCGTTTATTTGGGGCGGAGCTGTACCCATACCTATGTATATGCGCGTCAGAATAGGGTAAGAAGACATGAGAAAGGGAAAACGAACCAGAAGCCCATGTCGGAGAGCGCACCTCCGGTTTTGATGAGGGCGTTTAAGCCGGTGGCAAAGCTATCAGGAGGATTGCTCGAAGAGAAGCATCCTATGGGACGACGTCATCAGATGCCATCAGCTGCGCAAAGAAAGAAGCGTGGAATATTCTCACCGAACCAGACAGCGCGCTCCACGTACGATTGGGAATCGAGCCACGACATGGCGTTCATCATGAACGACTTGACTTGCGCCTGCGAAGGGTACGACCCGCTCGTAATTCCCATCTCGGTGACCCAGATCGGCTTGTTGAACTGGGACCGCACAGATTGCACGTATTTCTTGAATCCCGCAAGGTCGTTCCATGATCCATACCTACCACAAGATCAACACCTCGTCTTGAACAAAAGCACCAGATCACTCACCAATGGATACAAATATAGTCCACCCTCCCACCCCGATTCTTAACCCCATTCAAAAACGTCTGCATCCAATCCAACTTCCACACGATCGCCGGACTACCCAACGACACGCCCTTATTCCCCCACGGCTGGATCTGCTCCATGTACAACTGCGCGGCGTAATTGGGGTCCATGTTCGACTGACTGCTAACATCCGGCTCGTTGAACGCCATAAGGTGCTGCGGCTTATTCGCATTCATCTCTGACACGCGTGAGTTCCACTGCGACCATTTGGCGGGGCCCCAGAATTGAGGAACGAATTCTTTGGAGGCGAGTTGTGAGATGGGACCGTCTTGCCAGTCTGTGTTGTGAGGAGGGTCAGCGAGGGGATGAGGATGAGATGGAGGAAGGACTGACGGTGATACCACTGGATTTTGGGTTTCGACCCAATTTCAGTGGCCCAGCGATTGTCGGTCGCCCAAGCAAGGCCCCGCATGGCGGCTTGGGCGGGAGCGAAGAATGACAAAGCGAGAACGCCGGCGGCGGCGGTAACGTGAACCATTGTGTTGATAAAAATTCTACGGTACGATAAAGGACTGTGGTGAGGAAAAGAGTGTGTGTGAGTGCAGCGGAAGGAACAGGAGGGGAGCGGTTGGAAGGGAAAGAAGGCGCATGGTTCTTTTTGATGAAATGGACAAATCCGGATTGATGTCGGTTCAACCCATGTACCTTGTCGTGGCAGTGCCTGACGACGACGATGATACTGCGTAACTGCCGATATCGATGGCCGCAGTGAATGTGCCAAGGCCGCTGCGCAAGGCGCGTGCACTCGTGTGCCTCCAGCGGGGTATGAGCGCGAGGAGCAATGCCAATGGCGCCGTGTTTACTCTTGGACCCTAACGCCGATACCTCCGGCGTTCAACTTTCCCTCCGCTGCTGGATTACTATCAGTGTCCGGGAGTTTGATATGATTCAGGAGTTTGAAATCCTTATGTTCCTCCCTCAATATTGACACTGGCTTACTGGGAATTTTTTCTGGACTAATTATGACTGTCACTAATATGAATATGAACTTTTTTTCTGCAACAACTGAGTTTGACGAGTGCAGGATTTTAAAAGGTGGTTTTCAGCCCATCAAAATGTGTGATGTTTTCTAAGATCTAATCCGATCCTTTGCATGAGGCTTTCTAAAAATTTACAGACGTATACTAGTAAACTAGGAGACTTCAAATACGAGAAATTGAGCAGAAATACTAAGACCTCCGCTTACAGTTCAATGATTTTTGATTTTCTGTCCGCTGAGCGTGACAAGCGTGATCTTAGGCTTTACGGATTTGAACCCTGTCGCATCACCTATCAAAATTCTGACAGTTGGATGTGACCTGGACGTGACAACCATTTCAATCTCCCGAAACAATCGACTTCGACGACCGGTAAGCCTCCGTCAGCTTCCAAAGCTGTCCAATAAAAAAATAAAATATATATTCATGTTCACGAGACACGTATGTACGACTGTGCAAGATTTGAATGCCCGGCGTGTAGCGGTTGTGGTACAATGTGGCCAAAGATCAATTTGTTTCAAACTCCCGGACACTGATAGTACAGGTTAGAGAAACTAGAGCATTTCATAGGGTATACTAGGGTATATCGGCAATCGAGAAACGGAAGGCATATCTCCATCATTACGTCAGACTACATATGTCTTGGCTCCGCTGACCCAGCAATATTCAAATCCAAGGCCGCCTCCATCACTTTCAATATATAAGTATAGATACGAAGCGCTCAGCTTTGGAAGCGTCAAAATGATTGCCACCCACTTCGTCCAAGGAAAGATCCCTCCGCAAGGGATGGAATTTGGAGTCGCGGGAACAGGTCGTAACCATGAAGGTCCCTAGGAAAAACTCCCGCTCCCCGCGTAAAACAACCGGTACGCACTTGGTCGTCCTTGGCATTCTATCGAAGAATTCAGTGATGTAAAATTAGTACACGCAGAAGAAAAAGAAATGGTGATAAATCTGCAGGAATGAGAAACGTAAACCTCGCCTGTGTTGCGGGAGAAACACGGTGTATAGAGCCCGAATCACTCTCCTACTCAACTAACGCTGTGTTCCTGGTTTTTGGTGGTGCTCCAGTTCCATGCCGACCCGCCAAATTTTAACGCCGTGCAGCGGGCCCCGGTGGTAAATTTCGTCAAGAAGTTCGCATGCAATAAAAGGGCGATCTCGCCGGTTTTTAGTCCTGTCAGTGGGTACTTGAGGCAAACAGTGATGACCGATGCTATCGACACAAAAGCTAACACATGGTTCTATTCTCTCTACGAACAGTTTCTAATCCAAAATTTGAGGTTTCGTTGCAGAGCGAGTCCCGAAACTACATGACGGCATAAATCAAAACTCTTCTGCCAAGCGGGCTTCACTAGCCGTGCCCCATTTTCTTGATTAAGTTACGTTGTTGGACGAAGACCAAAGCATTGCCGTCCGTACTCATCTAACCTCTATAGGCGCCAGTACTCGAGCATCCCGGGGTCAAGTTGAAGGACTTTATAAGAGGCGCAAGTCACAGAAAGACGATCTCAAAAATATATATGCATGTAGTGCACCTTCATACATATCGTTCCACACGCCTATCAAGTATCAAGAGAAATTCCTGATGTCAAGAATCCGAGCAACCAAATGCCACAATCCGGAAGTTTAATCCCAAATAAACTTACACAAGTGACCTTCAAACCACTTTCTGTCTGCAGCCGACAATTCGTTGCCGTAACCATGGACGACGACGGATTCAAGCCCGGGTGCGTCAACTTCGAGATCCATCCAATCCGGGTCGGCGTAGTCAATGAAAGAATTGCGTAGCTCAACCATACGCTTCAGAGCTCGAATGGAGAAATTTGAGCACCCAGTCAAGACGATGTTCTGGAACGTTTCAACACTGGATACGTATGGAGCATTTTCGTCAACTGCTCCCAGCGTTTTAAGGACAACATTGTTGAACCCTGGGCAATTCGTGAAAGATACTGTGTGGGAATTCCACCATCGTAAAAGAGAATGGAGACGTTCATTGCCACGAACCCCCTCTAGATTAAGAGTATCACAGGTTAATGGGAAGACGAGTCGCCCATCTAGGCGGCAATTCTTGACTGAAAGACTATTGGGAGAGTCCAGCTCGCGGTTGTGAAAGAAGTCGTTACACAGCCGATTGGAAAGATTTTCAAGCTCAAGGTCCCTTACGTATAATGAAGATGGAGTTGGAGGATGGTTCGGATCGAAATTAAAGTTGACGTCTACAAACTTGAGGAAGTCGAAAGAAAGTTTGTGAAGGAATTCTCCAACGTCATTCAGGTCCAATTGATGCACATCGCTGGTGAAGTGTGAGACGGTTAAACGACCGAGCCCACCAAGGTCGTTCGTCCATTCGGGTCTCTCCTGGCAAATGTAGCGAAAATTTTCTCCGTCTACGGTCATGGACCATAAGCGAGGGCAAGAGAATTTTTCAGGGGGGGAAGAGTTAGGTATCACAGATAAATTGTTGGAGAGATTGTCAAGCATGTCGTGTTTTCGGTAAGGCCCATCGTCATGGTCACACTGCAATTTGAGAACTTGGAGATGAGCCATACGCCGAACAAAGTGCTCTTTGATCGATGGTAATGAGGAGCTCGAACGTCGATGGAGAGATACCAAATTCTCTGAAAGAGGGGTATGGCGTGCGCGAGCATCATTTGAGCTTGGATGCCCTCCAAATCATAGGCTGAGGCAGTGTTATATCGAGCGAAGACAAGGTAGAGCATGTGATCCTGCGATAACTGGATTTGATATCCAGTTTTCCTCCAATAGTCGGGAATGTCAACGAAACCAACGACAATTTTCCATAGTTCTGGGATGGACACGACGATGGCGCTCCACAGGGGACACACAGAACAAAGAATGCGACGAATGTAATAGGTACTCCAAAAAGATTCGAAATACCCAGGAGCGGTTAAGCGGAAGATAATTGAAAGGAGTTCGGCGGGGAGGTGGTTGATGGATGGTGCCTGATCATTGCGGGGACTTGATGGGGAATGCGTCGCGGGCATATGGATGTTCAAGTGGAATCTGATTATTTGCCTATTAGCTTATGGCTAACAATGCGTATAAATCCGCCCTCACAAAACAGCTCGCTAAGTTACCAGGGTTGTTCAGAGCTGATTCGGAGGAGACCTACACGTAAAATCAAGGAGGAACTGAGAAGTTGGTTGGGAAGACGTCGACGGAAGAAGAAAGCAGACTGAGATACTTATCGATTTGAAAGATCGATGAAACAAACCTTGAACAAACCCTTGGGAAAGTCACCGCGAAGTCATCACAATGATCACATGACACAAACTTCACTGGCATGACGACGACTTCAACGCCTGGGCCGTCACTCACATATTATGAAATTCCTCTTCCTCGAGGCCAAGCTCGACCAAAGGGCGAGGCTTGTGGAAGGCGGACTCGGCATCCCGAGAATACTTAGGAGGTCGGCCTGTGGCAGGTCGTCCATGCCAGAATCTCCCCATTTCGTCCGACGTTCACACGTGAGTGTTCAAGAACATGATTTCATTCATAAAGAGGCCCCGCTGACGTGTGTAAAGTCGTGTTTTGCACTTGCCACTTCCACTCGCCCCCCCTGAAAAGCGGTCTTGATGATACCATGCCTAGAACTCCTCGTTCTGTCTCTGGCTACACCAATCTTGGGCTTTCAACTCCCTCGTAACCACTCTCACTTTACTCAACGAACCTACATTACTCCATCGACGACATCAAGCTCCTACGATTATATCATCGCGGGGGGTGGCCTTGCAGGCCTGGTACTCGCCTCGAGGCTTACTGAAAACTCGTCAGTGACGGTTTTGGTCCTCGAGGCTGGTGATACGGGTGATGCTGTCGCTTCGATAATCAGTACGGATTATTGGACTATTCTAATGAATCCTGCTCACTTTTCGTAACAGATACTCCCGCCGCCACATATTATACTTCGCTCGTTGGATCTTCCTATGATTACGCGTATAAAACCGTTCCTCAAAGTGGCGCGAATAATCGGATACTTAACTGGCCAAGAGGAAAAGTACGTTGTTAGCACTGAATTATGTCCTGATGGTCAAACTTACACTTTAAAGGTCTTAGGCGGGTCGTCTGCAATCAATGGGATGTATCTTGTCCGGCCGAATTCAGCAGAAGTTAACGCCTGGCATGATCTCATTGCACCGAATGGCACTGCGGCAGCCGACAATTGGAGCTGGGACAGCTTGTTGGCGGCCATGAAGAAGAGCGAGAACTTTACCCCCCCAATCGCCGCCGTCCAATCCGTCGCTGGAATGCAGTATCAACGTTCAAGTCACGGTACGAATGGCCCCCTTCAAGCATCGTATCCCGCATAGTACGGCGTCATCACAATTCTGCATCGTCGCACTCAGCTTTTTTGCAGCATGGTCCCCGTGACGGAAACCTGGCTCCCGACTATGCAAGCCGCTGGAATTCCCATTTCAGCTGATGCTGATAACGGTAATAATCTTGGCACGTTCTTTGCCACCTCCGCTATCAACCCAACCAACTGGACGAGGTCGTACTCTCGGTCCGCGTACCTCGACCCCGCTTCCGCTCGAACCAACCTTCACGTTCTGGTGAACGCCACTGTAACTCGAGTTACTTGGGCAGACAACATTGTTGCTGGCGACCTATTTGCTTCCGGGGTCGAATATTCCACTGGCCGTGGAGCCGCGGTTAATACGGTTATGGCGAATAAGGAGGTCATTTTGAGTGGAGGTGCCATTGGGAGCCCTCAGATTTTGATGTTGAGTGGGATTGGGCCAAGGGATGTTCTGGGAGCGGCTGGAGTTTCTGTAAAATCAGAACTTCCCGGTGTCGGGCAACATCTACAGGACCACCTGGTGCGTTAACATATCTTCTCTCGTCTACTTTCTCTTACTTCGAGGATAGGCTGTGGGTGTGACGTGGGAGACACCGAACGATACCCAAGGATCAATCTACTCCTCTGGCTCAGATTTCTCTGTAAGTTTTTTCTCATCTGTCCGTCAACCTTGTAACACCGTCCCAGAAAACCCCCGAGTTCCTTTCTTTCGTAAACTCGGGAACCGCCTATGTCCAAGGAAGCTTCCTTTATGGGGGCAACACCTCATTCGCTACTTTTTGCGAAGGCATCACTGGAGCTATCACGAACTCTTCACTTACACTGGTTCCCAGTCAATATTCTCAAGTTGTTGATGGGTACAAGGCGATCTATGAATCTCTCGCTAACGCTGTACTGCCCAATTCCGGAATAGTCGAGATTCTTTTAAGCATCAATTCCCCTGGCGCAATTGTCATTCAAGCGGCGCTCCAGATACCATTTAGGTATGATGATGCCTCATTTTCTGAACGTCTACATAGTAAAGCTCAAACGTCCATTTCAAGCCAAGGACGAGTATATATCAACTCCAGTTCGGTGTTTGATCAGCCAGTCATCGATCCCCAATACTTTTCACATCCTGCCGGTAAGCTCCCCCCTGTTTACGCGTTGCTCGGCCTTCGTTTCCGCACTCTTCATACTCCACGTTCACCTAGATATCACGACGATGCGCCAAGCCCTCAAATTTGTCCGTCAAATTGGCAACACTTCTCCGCTGAAGGACATTCTTGGCGCTGAGGTCACTCCCGGACCAACAGTTAATACCGACTCAGATTGGGAAGCGTGGATCAGGAATAACGCAGCAACGGAATTCCATCCCACTGCTACTTGCGCGATGCTTCCAGAAGCGCAAGGTGGTGTGGTAGATGCGAATTTAAAGGTGTACGGAACTTGTGCGTATCCCTCTCCTCAGGCGTCTTGTTCATTCCGTTTCTCATTTGTCGCAGCAAACGTTCGAGTCGTTGACGGATCCGTCTTCCCGATATCTCTCTCCACTCATGTGAGTCACAGCCCTCGAGCGCGAAATGGCCCACTGACCGGCACCCTTGTGAAGCTTATGGCTCCAGTGTATGGACTTGCGGAGCAAGCCGCTGTAATTATTCGCGCTGCTACAAATCCCTCGACGACGTCTGCGTCACCTTCACCCTCTAGCTCTACACATTCTAATACCGGTTCGACGAAAAGTAGTGCCTCATCGACGTCACCTACAACCTTGGGCTGGTATCTTGTTGCTCTCTTTTTACTAACGATCTCTACCTTCGTTTAATGCAGATACGTGCTGCCAAACCCTCCTTCGACACAGCATTTCTTTACCCATCGATTTACTACTTACTGTGATCTTGGCCAGATCGTTGTATTTACATAAACACTTCATACCTAACAGACGTTCTTCAACTTCAACCACCGTTGTTTAATCCAGCTACAGATTCCTCGTTTGTTGGACATTTTCTTCGGGCCCTTTTGTCCGTTCTAAATTTATTGGAATGAATTTTATTTAAGGAAAACCCTCAATTGCGGGCGAGGTGATGATATTTGGAAATGGTTTGCTGACATGAAATGCGGTTTCAATCACGAATGGTTCTAACAATCATTATTTCAGATCCAAGTGAGGTTGACCGAATGCACCTCGATCATCTGATTTTCTAGAATCCAAAGTCCATAAGTCCAGAAAAAATTATTTCGTCTTCGCTGTCGTCCCCATCTTGGCTTTCTCCACTTTCATCAACATGTCCTTCAGAGTCAGTGGTAGCCGCCGTGTTAGAGGCTATCACTGCGGACGTTCCATTGTCCAAATTTCCACCCGGATCAATGTGGGACAAGAGTTCCTTGATTTCCTTGCCCTCCAGAGCTTTCGCTAATAGATCAGCCCAGATCGGTTCCATGTCGACGCCAGCTGCAGTGGTTAAAGCTAAAATTCTGCCGGCCTAGTAAAGCGATAAATGTGAATTTTTTGATTAGGAGGTCCTTCACAAGACTTACGGTGATTCCGATTCCATCATCAGCAAGGATGAGCGCAGCGTAAGTGGGGGCAAGCTCGACGGAGGCCTGGTAAAAAGATGAGTGAGAACTTTGGCGCCTCTTGGAACGGCCACAAAGTAGGCCATCTTACCATTAAAATTATCGGTATACGTACTTGTTGAATGTGTTTCACGGACTGTGAGCCATGACTTTATATTGATATTTTCCGCAGGATCGGTACCGGCGAGTCATAACCATTAAGGTCGTCCGTCATTGTCAAGTCATTGTGTCGTTATCTGACAGTTTGGGGCGTCATCGAAAAGTCACATAAACTATCACCGGTTACGAAGGGAGTCAGGGTATATATCTGGCGTCCAACTACGGAAGCCCTCAGGCTGGAGCGGTCTGTAAACAAGAACCGAATCATTGTAAGTACATGTCGGAGGTTGGTCGGAGGCGTCGGAGGCGCATGTTTGACGTTGTTAGGGACGAAAGAACATGCATTGGTAACGCGCAAGTAATTGGCAAGTAACGTTGAAGTAACGGGTTGATCTGAATCATAACTCTGGACAACGAAATGTCTTCCCCGAATCGTTTCATCACCTCGTCCTCGGCGACTACACCTTCCTATGGTTCATAAGGAGGATGATTTTGATTTACCGGGATCGCTGAATCTTCGATCTATACGCATTACCTCTCAAGCTTGTCATTGAATCCCATGGATCATAGTGTGAGCTGGACAATGGCATCTTCGCTATCACCAACTTGAATCTCAACCCCGACCAGGACCCATGTGGACCACACTTAGTAAAGATTTCCGGGCTTTGCGCTTGTCAAGCAGGTAGAAGACAAGCCACGTGTAATTTTTTGCTTACATATCTCCGGCTACAAGTGACCACTTGTTTCCGGAAACAAAGCTTTAAATACCTCGGTTTCTAACGCCTACATTTACAAATTCAGTCTCACCGCCAACCGCATCATGGGTCTCACAAAGAACAGTCGTGTCCTCTTCAACGAAGTCCCTAAAGGTTCGTCGTAACGCGTTCCCCAAGTGAAGGCAAGCGATTACTAGTAACGAAATTTTGCAGGTTACCCCGAGCCTGGAAAGACCACTGTCTACGATACAACGCAAACAATCGATGTTGAGAATGTTCACCTCGACGGTGGCTTCCTCCTCAAGACGTTGGAGCTGTCCATCGATCCCTACATGAGGGGACGTATGCGCCACCCCGAGAAGAAGTCGTACAGCGTGGGTCGTTATCCAACTTCTGATCATTTGGCTGGCGATATTAACGGGTTATCAGGCTCCCTTTGCGATTGGACAACCGTAAGCTCACTTCGCTAGCTGCAAATCGGGTGTTCAAGGATATTGTTTCAGGTTGACTGGTCATGGGGTTGGGGTTGTGGTGCGTTCAGAACTTGAAGGGGTCAATGCAGGCGATCATCTTTACGGATTCTTCGGTACGTTCTGCACGTCTTCGTGAGCCACTCAGGAGTTGTATTTTGATTTCATTCAGAGCACGTTCAATACTCCATCAGGAAGGATTTGTCGGGTCTCCGCGTCATCGACAATAAATTTAAATTGCCCTGGTCGGCGTTCATCGGCGTGGCTGGAATGCCAGGTGAGATGATAAAATAATGTTTGAGCATATAATTCACCCAAGTCTTCAGGCAAAACGGCTTACATGGCGTGGAAGGAATACTCTAAAGCGAAAAAAGCACGTTCGTTCATCGCTATACCAATATATGATTGTGCTAACCTTTTTGAATGTAGGGGGAAACGGTGTTCGTTACCACTGGAGGGGGTGAGTTCATTCTGAAATATTATGGCGCAATTTAGTAATCAAGCAATAGGACCTGTCGGATCGTATGATACCCTATCTCTCATGTTGAACCCCGCCTCACACCATGGCTGGTAGACTCGTAATCCAACTCGCGAAGCTCGACGGTTTGAAAGTCATCGCCTCCGCTGGATCTGAGGAAAAGGTTCAATTTATGAAAGAAATCGGTGCCGACGTTGCGTTCAACTACAAGACAACGGATACTGCTGAAGTTCTCGAAAAGGAGGGCCCCATTGACATGCGAGTATCCCTTCTGTTGAACTTTCTTACTTTGAACACAACTTATGTACGTATAGATACTGGGACAATGTTGGCGGAGCAACCTTGGATGCTGCGCTCGAAGCCGCTGCCCTCAATGCTCGGTTCATCGTAAGTTCGAACCTTTTCATTAGGGACGGCACTGACGTCGCGATCAGGAATGCGGAATGATTGCAGGTAAATCACTTTTCATTCCCTCGTGAGCAAGCGCACTGTTAAACCTGGCGTCAGGCTACAACGTGGGCGGTCAGCCGATCAAGGTTAGTCTAAAAGACATTGAAATATTGCGTACTCAACAACACCGTTTTTTTTTCACCAGAATCTCATCAATGTCATTGGGAAATCACTTTCTATTCATGGGTTTATCGTAAGCCGCTTAGAGCCGAAGTACGATGATGAGTTCTATGCTGTCGTCCCCGCCAAGGTGGCTAGCGGGGAGATCCAGCATCGTGAAGATGTGTATGATGGTCTCGACAAAGTCGGAGATATAATACTGGCAGTACAACAGGGGTTGAATAAGGCCAAGGCCGTTGTGCATGTTGCCGACGATTGAAATAGCAGTAGCGCAACATTGTAACAATAAATTGCCATCCTTCCGGACGACTAACTAGCTTTGTGCTTGGTACGGGTAACGTATTAAACTTGTATAGATCTAGAAATGAACATGATATCGAGAATGCTCATAAATGTGGTATAAAAGTGGTCCAATTGACAGTATCGAAGGCGCTGGCGGGTAGCGACCTAAGTTGTGTCACAGCGAGAACAAGTAAAGCCCCTCGAGCAAGAATATACGCTAAACCCAGTAGAATTGTTATAAATTCTGCGATATCGAACGGCAATATCCAGACACAGGCAAACATGGCCACAGGGACCGAAGCAATGGAAAGGGAGGCGACGCGCCATATAAACTGTTCACCGCGAGTCGCAAAATGGAAGGACCACGCCAAACAGTGAATGGCACCAAACACTACTGCCACTGCGACGATGGAAAAGCGATCATAATGACCATCAGTGCCTGATGCGTGAAAGGTGGGCACATGATGACGCGACTTGTCAAGGTCGAGTTGGACACCCATGTCACGAAGGGGTCCAAGAAGCACTGCAAAAGGCCGGTAAAGAATTCGATTCCACAGCGTCCACAAGATGCCGTGAATGTGGACGTCCCGCGAGAAGTTGTCGGTGGCTTTGGATAACCAGTTGCGGTGGTCGCCGATAACTGGGACGGTAGAGTAGGGGCCAACAAGTCTTGCTTCTACGTCCCGGTGGAAGGGTGAGATCACCCCAGGCGAGGCAGGTCCGGTATAGAGTACCTCATCCGTCGAATCTCCTTCCCCGGTTATCATTTCTCCGTGCACTCTGGACGTCCTTTCCGGCTGCAAGAGTTGAACTCGAATGGGCACCCGTACGTCTAGGGGCTTATTCCACCAATAGAAATACATGACCCCATTGAGGACGGCGAAGCCAGCGGTGGAAAGCTCGAGTTCAGTCAACATGATGTGATTCACTGCCCGAGCAATGCACTGGGTGACGAACCACAAGGATTGGAGGATGACAACACCTTTGGCGAGGTAATCGCCTTTACTACGGTCTTCAATATCTTCTGAAGTAGTTTCCGGCCATTCCATTTTCCCCGCCCTCTCTAAGGTCTCCATCTCCGCAATGGAGAGCGGATATAGAGCCGTCTTCCCCTGGTAAAGTACGAATCCTCCCATCTGGACAAAGTATCCGTGGATTCGTTTCCATCCTTTATCTTGCATAGATGTTTTCAATTAGGGGCAAGCCTACGAAGAACGGATGGCAATTAATAAGCACCTTTATGCCTCTTTGCAATATCGCCTGCGCCCAACCATTGCCTCATTGCCCACCAGATAACCATTTCCGGCGTCATGATCGCGTAAAACATGATTTTTAACCTACTCGCCAAAGATTTCCACCATGGCCCTCCCGCCTTAGGAATGTTCGGATGCACAGAAATCCAAGTGCATGCGAAAATTGTCACGAGGCAACCCCAGATGATATCCCAGAGAGACCTTTGGCCCTGGTTGAATGGGCAGACACACGAAGGACCAGCCAGGTCTGGAGTTGTGCATGCCGTTTGAAGTGGAGCGGCAGAAATTCTAGTGACGAGAAGGAGGAACCAAAGCATATCGCGTAGAGTGTAGGGAGCAGACAAGTATTCCGCGGCCCACGCTCTGAGTCACAGCGCAATGACGGTGCAGACTTGCAGTGTATTCACTTCATCAGAGGAGGCTATGCGCGATGGTCCGAGCTTAGCGTTTAGCGTTTTAGCGCTTAGCACTAGTCACTAGTCACTAGTCACTGGAGGTCACTGGTCGTACATATCCAATGGCCGGCGTTAGGGCAATTTGCGGGGTTCGAGTTGTTGAGCGTAGGGTCATTGTCATTGTTGACGATGTGACGGTCACGTGCTGCTCTAAGTCAGCAAATAATGTCAAATAATGGCCACCAATGTTTGCAGGAGGGGGGACAATCCTGATGGAACTCCGATCCTGGTGCGTACAGAAATGACCTCGAAAAGTGGCCCAACTCCGATCCTATGCGTACAGAAAAATTCGAAAATATCGCCCAACTCCGATCCTCCCTGAGTACAGAAACCTTTGGTCGCCAGTGAACTCCGATCTACCAGAGTACAGAAATCTCTCGGTTGGTCTCCGGAGGCATGGAATTGGGCCAGCACCGGCCCCTTTGGAACAGTGGTACCCCACCACGCCATAAGAAAAAAATTGGCCCACCCCCCCAGCTGGAGAGTGAAAAAAAAAAGCTTCTCGTATTTTTAACTCCGATCCGTTTTGCGTACATTTTGGGCCAAATTTGGCCGAACCCGATCCGTATGTGTACATTTCTTGGTTGATGAAGGCCTGACAGAAACGGTCAAAATCGACCATTTCGGATCGGAGTTCCAAGCGCATAGTCCCCCCTCCTATGTTTGCGCGCTAAAAAAGAAAAAAGAAAAAGGAAGAGGAGGAAGGGAGCACCCCAACCTCGCAATATCAACACGGCGTGCAATGACATAAGCGAGCAATTTTTAGAACACTTCGCTGAGCTGCGGCAGTGCGTCGTACAGTGAGTGTTTGGTATAAATTAGTAATGTGGGCTGAAATGATTGCTGTACTATTACATAAGTAGTTCAACTGTTGCGCGATAATCTCTAAAGCCAAACAATAGAGTTCCCAATACCAATATTTGTTGAAAAAATCGCTACTTTCCATCGTGTTATTTGACCGAAGCATAAAAAAACTACACAGATTTGTATGTGAAACCGTCATCTCCCTCTCTGCCAATGTAACATCCGCGCCACTCGGCAACAACCCCCTTCATAGGCACGATAGAGGGGAAAGTAACAAAGCTGGATTTCAAGTTCATGACGACTCTACGAGGCGCTAGCAAGGGCAGGTCTGTTGGTCCAGACAAGTGTGCAATAAACTTTGTCGCTTCAAGTTTGCATAGGCGAGGGCTTTCTACTTGATTTGACTATGCGGCTGTAACCCCCGAAGAAGAGCTTCCCACCTCCCCCCATTCCAACCTTTAATATCCTTCCACTCTCCACTATCCTCGCCCCACATACGCTTGAAAAGAAGCAATAACCCTCCAAGCACGAAATCAGCCCAGATAATCCGATCTCCCATCACAAACGGACCAGTCACGCTGTTTTGGTTCAACCAACTGTCAATGTTGTCAAACCCTTCCTTAAGCTTGTTCCAATCCGCCACCTTCTCTTCTCCGACAGGAGCGACTTCCTCTAACTTCTTCCCTACATTCTTCTCTCGCGAGAAACGGTAGTATTCAAGCGCACGGCCTTCGAAAAGCTTGGCCAGCTCTGGTACGGCTATGCGCCAAATGGAGTTCAGCTCAGACGCGCAGGCGCTGGTGTATGCTGCTTGTAGCGCGTCGAGTCCAACTGGAAAAATGACCGGCGTTTCGGGATACGTCTTCTCAAGGTAACGAGCGATTGCGAGCGAATCGGTCAAGTATACCCCAGTAGAAGGATCGTGGATCACTGGGAAAGTGTAGAACGGGCTACCATCATTCCACGTGCGAGTAGGTGGGATGCGTTTTTCGATACAGAACTTCTGGACGTCGGGTAATTCCAAAAACTCAGTCTTGTAAGGGATTCCTTTGTAATTCAGGGTCAACCTTTCATTGCTGTGCGTCAGCATTGTATAGGAACGAAAAGACGACAACGCACCTCGTTTTCCATGTACTGGGCGACCATACCTTGTCTGGCAAATTGCTGGAAATGTCGTAGAATGTAATCATGGCAGAGAACTGACGGATACATGGATTGAATTCGCGATTTATATTGGGCATTGTTAGTCATCACTCACAGATGTCATGATGACGTTCCGTCATGATCGGAAGGGATATGGTAAGCCACCTTAAGCCACAGGTCGGTAAGTGGAAATAGTACTCGGAGCTAGTGTTCTATTCGTGAGCTGTGGCCATTTCAGAAAAGGCGAAATCTTTGAGAATCCAGCAGTTTACAGCCAAATCCCCAAACGAGCGCTCCCAGAATTCGCAAGAAACGGGCTCCTCTGGAACCGAGCCTTAAGATAACGACCATCAGTTTAAAAATGATTCAGGGGGAGACTATTTTGAAAAACCCACCACTTCAATGAGTTATATTCCGGATTGATCAGTCAGCCGGTAGTTGGACATGATTTATCACTTGTCCCTCATGTCCAAAAATACGCCGCTAGACTGGTGACCGTCTGTATATGAAGGAACCTGTATGCTGAACAATGAGGGAACAACATTGCAATTTAAGTCGTTGAGCAAACACTTTGGGCGCTTTACTGACTCCTTCATCCCACGCTGGCGCTACGGATGGCAGAGGTCAGTGAATAAGAAAAGTCCCCCCCCAATTATAAAAACTTACTGAGTTAATCCCATCCAACAAACAAGCAGATACTTACCCGGGGGTGAGCTTCTAGGGATAACACGAAACGCGCTTGCTGGGTATTTCTGGCCTTGACAGGTTCTGAAGAACATTGAAGACGTTAATCACCAGTAATCACCCCTACTCTCCTACCAAACACGCCGTTTAGCAAGCGGATAAATCTGCGATGGAAGGTTGTTTACCGTGCTGATTGGCTAGAGGGGTGCCGGTGGTCTTCCAAATGTCGGAAGGTCTCTGATAAGCAGGGCGGAGCTAAATCAGCGAGATTCAAAGGTTCTATTTTATAGAATTTAAGCGCACCTCGAGTCTACAATTAGTCCTGAAGGGCCTGAAGCTTGAAGGTCCTCTGGAGACGGTGGGGATATGGGCGATTGTGGAAGCAGAAGCTTGGTTTTATTTGGATCTATTTGCCTTATCACGTCAATGTTTACATCTTGTGATGACGCGCAAGCACATGCAATTTGAATTGGGAGTTTATATACCCGGTACGTGCGCAGCGGTCTCTTCCTTCTTGCTTCCTTCAATACACCTTATGTTGATATTTTACGACATTACCAGCGAGATACCGGGCAGGGCATGGTCTCCCAATACTTGGAAGACACGGTAATGTTTTTCTCGTTCCCTCCTGTTGTACTTACTGGCTAATACGTCTTAGATTCTGCCTGAATTACAAGGGTATACCATATAGAACGGAATGGGTCGAGTATCCTGATATCGAACCTCTCTGCATCGAGAGGGGTATCCCACCCACGAGCTACTGGGCGGACGGTAAACCTCACTACACCCTACCTGCCATCCACGATCCCTCTACAGGAACATACATCGCCGACTCCCTCCTCATCGCGGAGTACCTCGACAAAACGTATCCAGACACCCCACGGATCTTTCCGCGTGGTCTTGAGGCCCTCCAGCTCGGCTTCGTCAAGTCCTTCATGACCCAACTCGACAGCATCTGGACTAGCATCATTCCTCAAATTGCTAACCACCTTAGTCCTCGCTCACTGGAATACTTTCGGCGGACGAGGGAGAAGTCGTTCCATAAGCAGTTGGAGGACATAGCTCCCGTTGGACAGGCGCAGAGTGAGGCTTGGGATCTGTTCAAGCGCGGACTGGATGTCGTGAACGGGTGGTTGGAGAAAAATAGTGCGTCGGGGCCGTTTGTGATGGCTGATACCGTTTCATGGGCGGACTTTGCCGTTGGGGGTTATCTTATCTGGATGAAGATTGTTTGGGGCGAGGATAGTCAGCAGTGGAAGGATATTTCAAGTTGGGGTGAGGGAAGGTGGGGTGCTCTCATCGAGGGTTTGGAGAAGTACAGTGAAATCAAGTAACCAACATCAGAGCTGGCTCGAAAGCTCTACATACTTAGCACCGAGATTTTTCAGTGTATTTTCCTGGAAGCCAGCATGAATCTGTCTCAGCATTTTTTCCTCATGGAGCTGACCGCCTCGGACTGCCAAATGGCAAATGGAACTCATCTGGACGTTGTCTAGACGTGGCCACACGAAATATCGAGCCGGCGGATGACAGCGGGCCGTGGATCTATCGACTTACTCTCACAATTGCCACAAGAGCAGCCACATCCTCTCGATGTTGCGCTACTCCCCCGGACTGCCCTCGCGCTCTGTCTTTCTGACAAGTAGGAACATTTCAAGACGTCCTTGTTCTTCGCCACTATTACTTCCAGCCCCCAGAGCATGTGCCCACACTGCCTCCACCTCAAACAGAAACACCGGGTCTATTCCAGGACCATTCTGGCTTTTGGCGCTCACCGCAAGTGGAGGTTTGGGCTATGCTATAGCTAGATACACCCAAGAACCTCCCGTTCCAAAAGCTGCTGAGCCTACGTTCGGCACTCCGGAGGACTTCGCTCATGCTATCGAGGAGTTGAAGGGTGCCTTGGAGAAGGGCAGCGTGTCGACGGATCGGGAGGATTTGTTTATTCATGGGTTCTCGGCGAACGATCATCATCCAGGTATGATTCTTATTTGAACTGGTTTAGGCGATCCGTACGTCGAATGGATGTAGATGCACCTCATAGCGTCGTGGTGTACCCCTCTTCGACTGAAGATGTCGTCAAGATCGTTAAAATCGCAACCAAACATCGTATGCCCGTTACGCCATATTCAGGAGCTACAAGTTTGGAAGGGCACTATCGTGGGGTACATTGCTCCATCACCTCTCTCGACTTTTCGCTTACTGAAACTGGTAGCATTCCACTGGCGGTATCTGTGTTGATATGAACAATATGGATAAAATACTCGAAATTCACGGTGAGGTCTTGTCTATTCATTGAAGCATCATTCGGCGTGACTGAGGGTCGATGCTAGAGGCTGATTCTGACTTGGTATGCCAGCCTGCAGCGGGGTGGATGGATATTAACGACACTCTCAAACAAAAAGGTAATCGATCCTACTTATCTCAAGGAACTCTCATCCTCATCAACTGTTTTTCTTAAGGGATACCCCTCTTCTTCCCAGTGCGTTGACCCAAAGAAAATTCTTACGCGATCCCTCACTTGTTGATTCAGATTGACCCAGCTCCAAGCGCCACGATCGGCGGTATGTTAAGTACAGGGTGTTCTGGAAGTAAGCGCGCCTTCATTCAACGATATCCCACACCAATTCACAGATTGCCTACGCAGCAAACGCCGTTCGCTATGGTACAGCTAAAGGCGAATGGTTTTTGAACGCTGTGCGTCTTCTAAGCCTCAACTCACTCGAGCCTTCACGAGACTTACAATTTTTTAAAACTTAGACCGTCGTGCTTCCATCAGGAGAGGTCATCAAGACGCGGCGTAGATCTAGAAAGTCATCCGCCGGGTTCGACACGACGAAATTGTTCATCGGAGCCGAGGGGACATTGGGGATTGTCACAGAAGGTATTATGCAGTCAAATCAACAATATCTTTACTGAGACTTGCCTTCTTAGTTACCATCCGCCTGGCGCCCCTGCTCCCCACCTCCGTTGCAGTCGTACAGTTCCCAGACGTGCGCAAGGCGACTGAGGCCGTGAGAGAGGTGATGAACCGCGGAGTTGGCATCCGTACGTGAACCTTCAGCCTTCATCGCTTACTCACTTACGACGACCCCTGCAGAATGCGTGGAACTCGTAGACGACGAATTCATCCGCGCGACCAATAAACTTGGGATGTCAAAGCGTAAATGGCCCGTAAAAGACAGCCTATTCTTCAAGTTCCAAGGCCACTCCAAGGAATCCCTAAAAGACACTGCGAGAGTCGTCAAAGAAGTGGTGGAACAAGCCCGATTTGGGGGGACTGGGTTCCAGGTCGCCCACGATGAGCAAGAGGCAAGTGATATATGGGCAGACAGGAAGAACGCGCACTATTCTTCGTTGGCGCTTATAGAGGGGAGTAAAGGGTGGCCGACTGATGTTTGGTATGTCCTCTCTCTTTCCCTATTGAACAGGGTTTACCGTGGAACAGTGTCCCGGTATCGAAACTTCCGGACTTGGTATACGATACCAAGAAGGATTTGGCCGAGTTCGGACTGGTATCTACGATCGTTGGCCATGTAGGAGATGGGAATTTCCATGCGTTGATATTGTTCAAGACCGACGAGGAGAAGGCTAAGGCGGAACAGGTGATTCATCGGATGGTCAAGCGAGCAATATCAATGGATGGTACTTGTAAGCTTTTCTTTTTTCCTTGTTTTTCTTCGTCTTATTGTTGATACGATTGTAGGCACAGGGGAGCATGGAGTTGGCATTGGGAAGAAAGAATATCTAGTTGAAGAATTGGGCGCTGGAACTGTGAAGCTTATGAGGACGATAAAAGACGCTATTGATCCGTTGGGGTTGTTCAATCCTGGAAAGGCGAGTAATTCTTACAAAGAACTATTAGTATCACTCCTGATGTTCGTTTGTACTTTTAACAGCTTTATCCGGAGAGGGAGAAGGACGAGAAGAAGCCTTGAGGTGGCGAGGATAGATATCACATTTCAGACCACACCGTAATGAAATTTAGGAAAACGTTTTTTTCTTTGCGATTCATTCATCCATATTCAGCTTCTCAAGGACAGCCTCATGTGAGACCACCTATCCAGATTGGGGCGTATTATTAATACGACGACGCCGCTCACTGGACACACAACAACTCTTTCTTAACCTTCAACATGCCAGCGCTCAAAGGTTGGCACCCAGGGGAACGGTCAATCCGGCACAAACTTGGCTTCGACGCCATCCCCGCAACCGCAAACGCCTACTCCTGGATAACAGGCAACCTTCCCCCCGAACACGCCAAATTCCACTCCGAGAAACTCTATTTCCTCCCGCTCACCAATCTAGATGAGCAGGGACGACCGTGGGGGTCCATCCTGTGCGCTGAAAATGGAAAGCAGGGGTTTATAAGTGTGCCAAGGTATAATACTATGTCGGTACGAACGGAGTTGTGGGAGGGCGATCCGTTCCTGGATAATTTGGTGTGTGGAGAGCGGGAAGGGAAGGGGATGTTTGTGGCGGGGATTGGGGTGGAGGTTGCGACGCGTAGAAGGAACAAGTTTGCGGGGAAGCTTGTTGAAGTGAGGAGAGGGAAGAGCTCGCGTTCTGTCGAATTTGACTTGGTGGTGAATGAGGCTATTGGGTGCGTGTATCCTGATTGTTTATTCAAAAGCCTTGTTTGACGAAGAGAGTAGTGAATGCCCAAAATATATCACCGTTCGGCAATTAGTGCCATTCCCCAAAGCCTCTCCTAAGGTCGTTCACAAACGACCAATAATGTCTGAAGATGATCGACTTGCAGAAGACGCCATCTCCTTCATCCTATCCTCCGACACAGTCTTCCTCGGAACGACATACTCCGCCTCCCCAAACGACGCTCGCGTTTATCCCTCCCACGTCGGTATGAACCACCGCGGCGGCCGACCAGGATTTATCCGCGTTCGACCATCCGACGGGCGGACCATCGTACTCCCTGATTTCTCAGGAAACCGAATCATGACGTCCCTAGGGAACATCGAAGCCACCCCCCTCGCCTCTCTCACTTTCGTCAACTTCACGACGGGAGACGTTCTCTACGTCACAGGCAACGCCACCAACCTCGTAGGTCCCGAATCTCAAGTGATCATGCCCTTCCAAAACACCCTGACGAAGATCTACGTCACTGGGTACACCCTCATCCTCGACGCGCTTCCATGTCGCGAGGACCCTGCGTCAACTATCCAACCTAGCCCATACAGTCCTCCTATCCGCTTCCTAGCTGAAGAAAAGCCATCTTCCCTATTCAACACCGGCAAAACACCCATGGCGACGTTGTTGAGCATAGATATGCACAGCGCCACCATTGCCACGTTCACTTGGGAGTCTTCTGAAGAACTGGTGATCAACCCGGGGCAATGTGTCATTCTGGACTTTACCACCCTCTTCGGGTCGCGGGAATATCAGCACATGGCTCCGACCCGCCCGAGCTCGGTTAACGACGATTTTATCAGGACGTGGACTGTTTCGTCCGCTGCGAAGGAGCGCAAGACGCGTATGTTCTCCTTGACGATGCGGGAGAAGCCAGGGGGGACCGTGACGGGCGCGCTCTTCTCTCTCGCAAGGAGCTTGCGAGAGTCGAAGCGGAATGATATGAGGGAAATGGCGGTGGCCGTGAAAGTGGCTGGTGTGATGGGGGAGTTTTGTTTACCAACGTCTCCGCGGACTGAGGAGGGAAGCGTGAGGAAGATGGTGTGGATTGCTGGTGGGATTGGGGTTACGCCGTTTTTGAGCATGTTGCGCGCTGTCCTGGAGGGGCGTTCTGGTGGTTGGGATATCACGTTAATTCTATCGATGAGGGAGCCTGAAGTCATCCTTCCCCTTGTTTTCTCCATCTTGGAGGGTGCTCCTGATGCGGTCAATGAGCCGACGTTTTCTCTGGCTATTTACGTTTTTTCGAAAGGCTCCGTTCCAACATTGGCCGTAAAGGGTGTGGGTGAGAAGGTGAGGGTGGAAACCCACCTTCAGCGGTTGAGCAAGGAGTTCCTCGTTGTGAGGGGGAAGCTGTTGGTCGAAAGTGAGGTGTATGTTTGTGGCCCTGGGACTTTTGAGAAGGTGGTGGCGGAGGTGGTGGCGGAGTTAGGGAGGTCGGTCGGTGATGTTCGGCGGGAGGGATTTGAGTTTTAGCGAGCGTATATTCTGAGGAAGGCGTCAGGCCTTCAGGTTCAGCGTGATACATAAGTGCAACATGAGGAACAATGATTGTTGTTTTCTACCGCAGTCCGACTCGGAAGGGGTGTGTAGGATAATAAAAATATTGAATCTTTTCCGGAGGTGAAGTGGGTCAACTTCACACCACCACTGTTTTAATAAAAGAGTAAGATAAACGTTGAAGTAGAGGTTGACATACCGCGGAGACCGAGACCTTGTTGGAGGCAAAATTTAAGCGGCGGAGTGGCAGATCAACTATCGCCATCTGCCCACATCGCTTGGACCAATAAAATTATACGCCTGAACTGCACCTGAAAACGATATGTCACTGGGAAGGCGGAGGTGGAGGTGATTGATTCGAAATCAAACTTGTCACGTACTTCTTATTATTCATCGAGGCTCCTTTTGACTATGAACGGTGAGGAAGTTCGTTTCCTCGTACATTGGGTGGGTCCATTTTGACATAAAACCATCTGCGAAATGTGAACGAAAGGGGGTAAATTGACTGGCATTGAATGGGAAAACATACCGTGAGAAGGTTCCATGCCTACAGCACATGTACCTTGCCTTATTGTTCCGACCACGAACAAAAGTGTATGGAATCGAGATCTCCTGAATACGCGTCGGTATGTATCCACTTGAATTGTGAGATATGAATCCTTGTTGAACGTTGAAGTTCGTTTTTTTTACCCTGTTCTATCGTGAGATAATGTTTCCGCACGTGATCTCCATTTATAGATCCGCTCTTCAAGCCGTTATTGTTGTTCGTCACTCTGAAATGGCCCTAACTGCAAAAAGACGACCGGTAACGGCAGAAGGGATAGAAGATCCCGCTGAATATGACTCTGACTGGTGTCAGAGCTTTTCACCGACTGGTACATCACTACCTTTCTCATAATGCACGTAGAAGCAGCTTACCAAGTTCCCTGTTCTCCACATCACTACTTCGAACAATTACCGTCTTCTCAAACGCAATCCACACAATCTAACAAAAACTCACTTCCATCACCTCCTACGTCTCCCCGACTCCGCCGCAAACGCACCTGCGCACCCATCAACATCGTGACCTCTTCCCACTCGCTGTCTCCCCTGCGGCTAGGTAGCATCGACGAGGACCCAGAATACGACTTTGGGTTCAGCCTCGACCTCGGTTCCGAATCCCCCGCATCAGCGAGCACACCCGATCTCGTCTCTTCGTCTGATGTACTGAGAGAGTGGGCGGGGGCGGGGATCGCGGTTCCTCGTGTGCCGGCACGACGTCGCTCGTGGCGATCAAGCTCGTTCTCGAGGGATCGGATAAAGAAGGTTGTCGTTAATGAAGCGGATAGGGATTGTGCAATATGGTGAGTGGACTAGACTCAAAACGAAAAAGGGTTGTTCTGATATTGAGCTGCGGCAGTTTCGAGTACGCGGTGAGACCTTGCAGGACGACGTGTTGTGGCAAAATGTTTTGTTTCGAGCATCTGAACGATGTACGCACTCTGACATACTTCAACTCAATCCCGCTCATCATCGTCTTATATACATAGTGGCTAAATGGCCCAAACGGCACAGGGCGCTGCCCTCACTGCGAATTACCCTGTTCACTTGAGAACAACACCATCTCCCTCGCCTCACCCACCGACAAGAAACGAAAACAACCACCTTCGCCCCTCCTCCTCATTCGATCCATGTCAAACGAAACGATCCCATGTGATTCTACTACGGACAACGAGGCCTCAGGCTCTACTTCACGAGGCCGATCACGCGCCGCACGACATCAGGATCCGACGCGCCCAATGGAAGAAGAAGAAGCTTCAGGGAGTGGAAGGAGAAGAGATTCTCCTTCTCCCGTACCATATGCATCCACGTCACCACCACCTTTTCTCGCGGAATCAGCGAAAGATTCTTCACGGTATTCGATCCCTACGCCCCCCAACTCGTCAGCACCGCTTTCCAGAGACTCCTTTGCTTCAGAGTCGTCGTTTCACTTGTCTTCGGACCCGTCGGTTTCCCCATCCACTGTTCAAGAAAAGGGGAAACCACATTACTCTATCTATCTCACGACTGGCGCTTTATCGGCAAGTCCGATTGGGCCAACAACGACCATGTCATCCAGCACAGCCAGCCCCGCCTCGACAGCGTCCTCATCCCAGACTTCCATCGACACACTCCCGAGCCCGGGCCCAGGCGCGGAAATGCAGGGACCCTTGAGCCATCTGGCTACCGTTGTGGCCTTTGTTTATTTGTTGTATACTTTGATGAGCTGAGCTCTGGCTTCGTTTTTTGGAATAGGTTTTCATCCGTTCCTTGTACCACCAATTTGCTTGGGCCCCTGGTTCATGTAGTTCATGTACGCATCGCTTTTACTGTATTCATTGGTTTGAAAACGACTAAGCAAGGGAAATGATTCACATAATACCTCAAACAAGGGCGAACAGGACGATTGTTAGAAAAATACAACATCCATATTTGGACTGACAAGTCCTCGCCAAGTGGCTTCTTATTGTATTCAAAATCTTGAACTTGCCCAACAAAATGATTCAATCGAACTTACACTGGGGAGTCGGACCCTTCAGCGTCTAAAGATAAATGATATATCCTCCACCATCAATTGACCGATTGTTCCTCGTAGTGGCAGGTGCACTAGGCAGTCTCCCCATTTTAATTCAATTTTCATTCACGACATTTTGAGTTCACAACACTTGTTTCTGTATGAGCATTGGTCAAAATGGGCTACTGTTCTCGGAAATACTCAAAGATCCATCGAAATAGTATGAAAATTGAACTCGCCTGGAGTCGTCGGCATCGTTTAAACCATCACAGCGCCCCACCTATCGGATGGATCGCTCTCCTTCAAGTTTTGGTAGGCCTCTTCGTCCGCTTTTGCGTATCCACCTTCGGCTGTTGAGTAGGTCTAGAGGTTTCCTCGTACTTTTCAGAACCTCTAGGATTGTTTAGAGTGCCTTGCTAAACATAGACGTACGCATTCTTTCCAAGTCCCGTGGTGTAGGAGAAGATCTCATGATGATGGGCTGCTTGGGTTTCAGACGCCTCGTTCCTGAGTTACCGTGGTTGCGGATTGCATCAGGAAACCCAGTATAAGAGTGGGCGAACGCTGACTTGAGTTCCCCGACGTTGAGAATGCTATGTCCAAGCCTTAATAAATGGCTAGCTGGCAGTTGGGGAGAGGGATGGCGAACAACTGACTCTCTCAAGGCTCGTCATCGAAAGGCTGAAGGACGCAGTCAATTGAAAGAGTCCAACTCGTTGCACCTGGAAGACCAGATTGTGGGTGCCGGTCAATGTGCCGACGAAGCATCTTTACATGTTAGCCTTCGTTATCGCGGCTGACCCCAATGGTTAGTTGTAGAGAGGTACGGTGATCCAGCAAAGCCTTCGGAATATAATCCGATCTTTGAGAACGATAGAGGAGTAAAACATCACGGTCGTTTGCTTTGTTACTTTTCATATTTCGAAGTTTGGGCATAACGTGAGAACGGCCCAAATGGGGAAATGTCACTTTGACTATCATGATGACCATCTCATTTTCACTCTTCCTCAACGACGACGACGACCGAAAGCGACTGGACCGGTTCTTGAACGGGAACAGGGGCGACAACGATGCCAGAGCTCTCCCGAGCCATCATCTCCCTCTTTCATAAACGCGCAGCCACAGAGCAGGTGAGTGATCGTAAGACTCCAAAGAAGGCAAAGCTGACTATTAGACTACGTATACTTGTAGGGTGGCCTTTTGAGCGGAAAGGATCCCTCGGAGTTCAACACCGCAGATCCGATTCGACTATGGATCATTCAAGTTGGTATGGCCGCTCTCTCTACACCCATGTCCAGTTGTGCTGACGTTGTCGTTGCGCATTTGTTGCTGTCAATAGGGATCATCGTATGCACTGCGAGTTTGCTGGCTCTTGCTCTGCGGAAGATTCGCCAGCCAAAGGTTATTGCAGAGGTTCTAGGGGGAATACTTCTTGGTGCGTTTGCTTTCAACTTTACGCCGTTACTCGGCTCAATTTACATGCATATATTCAGGTCCGACTGCGTTTGGTGAGTTCTAGAGCCATTACTGCGTCTTTTTTTGCTTCTCCATGTTCTTTGTAAGTGCTCTATCATATCCATCTACCAAACTGACTCTATCTTCGTTAGTTTTCTACGTCTATCTGCTCGCTAACCCTGCCCTTCAGGTCGTATACCCGGTTTCACAGAACACATCTTTCCAGACGCATCGAGGCCCTACCTTAGCCTCGTCGCCAACATCGGACTCTGCCTATTTCTCTTCCTAGTCGGTCTCGAAATCGACGCAGGTGTAATCAGACGCAATGCCAGCTTATCCGCCACAGTCGCTTTGGCAGGGATGGTTCTGCCATTCGGAATCGGTGCAGGACTCGCCGTGGCGATCTACAAGGAATTCATTGACCAGAGCGTAAAGTTCACGCATTTCATGCTGTTTACTGGCGTGGCGTACTCCATCACAGCGTTCCCGGTTCTTTGCAGGATTTTGACAGAGTTGAAGTTGCTGGATACGACGGTGGGCATCGTGGTTCTCTCCGCAGGTGTCGGAAACGATATCAGTGCGCAACACCTCCTTCCCCTCTGTCTTGCCACAATTAACCCTCTCTTGCAGTCGGTTGGACGCTGCTAGCACTCAGCGTAGCATTAGTGAACGCCGGCTCGGGTCTCACAGCCCTCTACATCCTCCTGACCTGCGTCGGGTGGACCTTGTTCCTCCTTTTCCCCGTCAAGATGCTCATGAGGTGGTTAGCCCGGACGACGGGGTCCATTGAGAGCGGCCCTTCCCTCTTCTTCATGACCGCCACCATGATGGTCCTCTTTGGCTCTGCATTTTTCACAGACGTTATTGGCGTGCACGCTATCTTTGGTGCGTTTTTGGCAGGGCTCGTCGTACCCCGAGAGGGAGGTCTGGCCATTGCATTGACGGAGAAGCTGGAGGATATGGTTTCGATTATATTCCTGCCACTCGTATGTTTCATTGTCTGACTCTTGGTCGCGTTCTGAGATGTGTTTGCAGTACTTTACGCTCTCGGGACTCTCAACTGATCTTGGATTGTTGGATAACGGTGCGTCTTGAATTTCTATAGCTATCCTCTTCTGACTCTTAAACTCAGGGATAACATGGGCGTACACCATCGCAATCATCTTCTCGGCGTTCATCGGCAAGTTTGCAGGCTGCTGCATCGCAGCGAGATACTTTGCAGGTTTCAACTGGCGCGAATCCAGTACCATCGGGTCCTTGATGAGCTGTAAAGGGTTTGTTGTCCTGACCTCCCTCCTTACCTATCTTAGGCTCACCCTTCATCTAGCCTCGTCGAGCTTATCGTACTCAACGTCGGGCTGTCAGCTGGCATCCTCTCCCCTCGCGTTTTCTCCATGTTCGTGTTGGAAGCTCTAGTTCTTACTTTCATGACTACGCCTCTCGTGACGTGGTTGTATCCCCAACACTTACGCACTCGTATCGCCGCCTCTGGTGCCAAATTTATCAATGTCGCGGATGACGAAGCTCGAAGACCAGCTTCTCGATCGAGGTCCAGAAATGGGGAGTACAGGACACGATACACGGTCGTCTTGGACAAACTGGAGCATTTACCAGGAATGATGGCGCTCACGCAGCTCATACATACCTCCCCTGCTTCGAGACGCCGTTTACGAGAATCATCGACTAGCAGCATCGATTATCCTCACCCGATTTCGGTCCAGGCGTTACGTTTGATCGAGCTGTCCGATCGTGTTTCGGCAGTAATGAAGTCCTCCGTCTCCGATACCCTCCTCCACGTCGACCCCCTTCTTTCCGTCTTCCGCATGTTCGGACAGCTGAATGATGTAAAGATCACTCCCTCCCTCTCCATCGTTAAATTCGATGATCTGGCATACAGCGTTGCGGAGCACGCGAGGGAGTACGACTCTGACATGATCATGATCCCATGGTTGCCGCCCACGCACGATGCGTACGACGGGAACAACTTACATACCCATATCCATATTCCTTATACCCATCAACCACCCACCCCTCATACCCCTAATGTCCCGGACCACGCTTTACCTACCTCCCCTTCCAATGTAAAGTCCGCTACGTCCTCGCATAACCCCTTCGAGATGCTCTTCCGCACAGGACCAACAGGTAGCAGTGGTGGGGAAATGTCAGCCTCAGTCATCCACTCTCAGTTTGTCCGAGGTGTCTTCTCTCAGGCAACGACGGACGTAGCGCTCTTCGTGGACCAGAGCACCCTCGCGGCATCGGGTGAGAGTTCCGGGAGGAGCGGGAGCGCACAGCATTTGTTTTTGCCGTTCTTTGGTGGGCCAGATGATAGGCTCGCGTTGGAGTTTGTGGTTCAGCTTTGTAATGAGAACCCGTGTGTGAGGGCTACGGTGGTGAGGATTGTGAAGCGGGATGTGGATGCGGAGGTCGTTCAGCCTCCTCTGGCTGCTGCTGGGTCGCAGAGGGCGATGGAGGATGTGAATGCCTTGACTGTCGCCTCGGTTCGTTCACTCTTTACTCTTTGACACGAGGATTTTACTTATGGTTGTATATGATAGAACATTGCTGGGTTCCCTGATACAGTCTATGGCCGTGACAACACCGAAACGAGGCTCCAATCCCAAACAGCAGACACCATCGTCTGGGCACGATACGCCTCGCCACCACAAAACCCCGCCCCCGGGTCTAACTCTGAAGCCAAATCCACCATCTCCTCCTCGTCCTCTTCCTCTCGCATTGAATTCAAAGAACTCAGCACACCTATTCCACTACACACCATCATCCAAACCTCGCTCTCCATTCAGGACGAAGACGATCGCGACATGACTTTGTTCGTCGTCACTGGCCGATCGAGGAGGTTGGCTGCGGAGAACCATAGGGAGGAGGTAAAGGAGATTATGGAGGAGTATGGGAGTGTGAGTGCGGAGGTTAGAAAGACGATTGGGGATGTGGCTGCTGCTGTTGTTGTGGCGGGGTGTGTGGCTGGGTTGGTGGTCGTTCAGGCTGCTGAGTATTGAGTGTTGGATTATGGACTTCTTGTTGTTCTGGCGGCGGGTAAGCCGTTGTTGTTGTTGGGCTCGGGCTCGATAATTAGGTTAGGTATTAGCGGGGCTTTTGGTGTTGGGACTGCTGTTGTGGCTATAGGTTTGGTCCACGATGGATGGATTTGTAGGATGAGCAAAGGAGGGCTAGCGAAGAAATTGTCACTAGAAATCGGAGGTTCGAGCTTTGTTATCAAAATGATAAATTGCAATCTACGTAGCGCAAGAGACAGAACATCTATGGATATATGTATCCGTCTAATATCTATGTCAAAATCTATGCCGAAACTGTAAATCTGAGCTGGTCACCCTCTACCTCACAGGTAACACTCTCCAAGTTTTCCACAATGTAATGCGCACCGCAGTTTTCGATCTTTGACCTCTCGTGGCTGGTGCAAACGGCGATTACGGTAGCTCCACTGGCCACGCCCGCGCGAATGCCGCTGGGCGAGTCTTCGAATACAACGCACTTGGAGGCGTCGTACCCAAGACATTTGGCAGCGAGGAGGAAGGGATCGGGAGCTGGTTTTCCAGCTTTGAGGCGCTTGTCGTCTGCGGTGATAGTTACGGGCGGGGGTGTAATGCCCACGCGCGTCATGCAACCGTAAGCTGATAAAGGCGCGGTATTTAGAGAATGCAAGAATAAATCAATAGACAGGACGAACCGTATGTTTTAGCGCCGGAAGTAGCGACGGCATACCGGCCAGCGGGGATAGAGTCCATCATCCGTCTTACACCAGGTAAGATTCGGACTGAGCGATCAACGCTCGCAGCTTCAATCTGCCATGCTTCCAAGAGATGCCTATCTTGCTTTTCTTTCCCGGTCTCTACCTCTTGAATTGGCTCCAGGTTCTCCTCTTCGATTCCTTCGTAGGTCTCCGAGTAATCCCGGACACGGACAGATGACATCGCAAGGAGGGTGTTGAGACGACTGAAAGAAGGGCGGCGGTTCTGAGCATGACCAATGGAGGAAGCTCGTGATGGAGGGTATGAAGGTCCGGGGGTAAGAGCCGGCGTCGCAAGCCCCGAGCTGAAGGGAGAGTCGGAGGGAGAGCCGATGTACGCAGGAGTGGCGGATTTGGAACCATGGCCGTAACGATGATATGCATCTGCGTAGAAAAGGATCGTCTCCTCGAACTTGGTAACCTCGTCGTCCATTTCGTGCTCCTTGATCTGGGGCTTGAATTGGCTGAGATTGTCGACTGCGCGTTTGCCGTGTGTGGCTGCGATGACATATGAGGGGTCCTGCCCGATGTCTAAAGCGACCTTTCCCCAAGCAGATTCAACTGCGGAGATTGAGTCGGTCAGAGTACCGTCCTGGCGATTGTACGTCAGCCTAGGCACAGGAAAGAGTTGGCGTACTCACCATGTCAAATAGTACGGCATCTGCGTAGAAGGTGTGCGGAGCGGGCATTGGTGGGTAGACAAAAGTTGGATCGAAGATAATAAATATTGCGATGAGATTAGTTAGGGTGTTTAGCGACGTGTAAGGATGGGGATAAAATCGTCGGGCGCGATGGGTTCATAAGTAATGCCCAAAACGAGTGACGTCAACTCGGGAAATTCATCTTGCTAAAATTTATTATTGGTATGACGATGCCTTTTCGATCATGGCTCCACGAAAATTTCCATTTTCAACATGTGCCATCGATAGCCCTGCGCAACACCGTCATAAACGCGTTTAGTAGGAGCCAAAGAAAAACTTACTACCGAGTCGGAAGATAATATTTAGCAGCAGTCAGTACGAGCAAGTCAAGCGTCAAAACTAGTTATTTTGTATATTAGTGTGTATTCGTGCTTGGCAATATGACTGGGAAACAATAACGTCAGCCGGAAACGTTTCCAAGGGGGCCCAAGGACCTTAAAAATTACACGGGGTCGGTAAAATCTTTTAAGCCATGGGACGTGACCACCCCCCGCCCCTCCTTCCTAAAATGGAAATGTCAAACCGCAAAAGGCAACTACAAAAAAAAACATATCGCATTTTTGGTTTTCAAAAGGCGGGAGAAGCGCAAAAATATATCAGTGTGCCTATATAAGTCACAAAAAGGCATTTCAGTGCTCATTTGGTTAAAATCCAAAGATGCACTATAGTGCGATGTTCGGCCAGTCAGGTGTTACTTGGCATAAATGAAGAAAATAATTAAGAAATTATTACTGTCATGTGACCATTACTGGTTCACTTTAGCTTAAATTGCAGATTGCACGCCTCCCTCTCATTGGGAGCACATAAAATTTTGCGAGTGAGTAGGAGGAAACATATACATATTGTATCTGTAAGTTTTATTTAGGAGGGATGCTTTTGGGTAGTGTTAAAATGCCTTGACCCGTTTGCCCTGAATTGGTCAGCCCCCATAAGCCAACCGTAAAATATTCTTAGACACCCCATATTCTCCTTATCTGATTTAAAATTTTGTGTGTGAGTTACCAATACCTCCACTGTAAACTCTCAAAAATATTTGTGTCAATAGAGGCTAGCACTGTGGAGAGAAATGGTCGTCAATTAGATAGACTTGCTTTGATGGGCAAACTTGGCAAAACAACAATGTGACCATCTTATCTCCCTTATATCTCAGCTCATGCTCAACGTTCTATGCAATAAATCTCCACACACAGCCGCATGTACATTGTCAAACTCTGTTCAAAATTTCAAATGCATAGCATGGATCGTTGTGGTGCTATAGCTTGTTGACCCGTTAGTGCTGATGACCCGTTAGGGGTCACATGACAGTAGCTATAAGTCAGACATGTGTCTGTAGACTGTGTAAAGCACATTAGAATAGCTGAAGAGAAACTGAGAGTGAAATTGATGGCCATTCGGCCAGTTTTTGGCCTGAGTAGCAATTTTTTTTAAGAGCTCGAGTACCCACCCCCCTCCCCAACCCCCAGTCCGGCATTCAGATCCCTGGACCTCCTTGAACGTTTCTTGTTATGCACGCACGCATTGATCATTGCGCACTCCATAAAATAAGAGCATTTCTGAGCTCGCTCCTGACAACGGCGTCCCTCAGACTCGGTGATACTACGTTCAAACGAAGCATTGTTCGAGAAACTTGAACATGAAGGGAATGAAAAGCGCATAGTAGAATCCTCGACTGTATGCAATCCCTTACTCAAGCAACAATGGCGCTCATTTTGACTGCACGAGTACAGAACCCACTATTTTCGTCTTTTTTTTGCCGTTGAACCTCATTCACTGACTCGTTATTCTCACTTCACAACAAAATAGCAAGTGGCACACTCCGCAAGAAAATTTCTTGCATCGATCCCATGGAAAAAAATGATGATTAGTTGAACTAAGTATAATAAGTATTTAGGAGACAGTAATGGCACCGATGGCCATCTTTTGACCCGAGATGGGGAATATTTGGGGGTTGACGTTAACGGGGGAGCAGCCCACGGCGATGAGGCCATCTAAAAAGGAAAGGATTAAATTCAAAAGGGAAGACGCGAAAGAAAAGAAATACGAACGGAAAGTGTTGCCATCGCAGCAGACGGGCTGCTGGGTGCTGGTTGGTTTATAATAACCACATGAGAATGTATCGGGGAAAATAGACAAGGCAACTTACCAGCTGCCACCTTGGCCGATAGGGAGGGCGCTGATGGGAGTACAACTAGTACCAACTTGACCGGTGAACTGGCTGAGGTTGATGTTCAAAAGGGAAGCTAAGATGTTGGCCTGGTTTGAGTCAGACGCAAAGGTTTGGTTGCCTACAAAAGAATTGTTTTTAAGAAAAGAAATCAGACCCATGCCTCGCGGTGAAGAGATAGGGAGTTCGAACTAACAACATTGCATAGAGCCAGTGTTGCAAGAATTTTCGACCCCAGGGACGGGGGAGCCAGCGACAAAGGCAACGAGGGCAGCGGCGACGAAGAGGACTTGAGAGAACATGTCTGGATGAGAGACGGGGTTTCGGGTGGGTGATTGAAAGAGTGTGTGTGCTATGGAAGATAGTAAGTGACAGTGGCGAAGTTGGGTATTCGACTGAAAAACCAATGTCGTGTCGCTCCCGCTTTTATAGATTTTTGCAACGCACTGGCGGACCGCTGCCTGACTTCCCTTTGGTTTTAAATAACACACGGCGTTGATGGAAGAAAAATTGTCTGGCCCTCCAATTCGCTTCCTGCCGAAGGTCGCCTTGACAAAAAGGGGAAGTCCCTGCACTTGGCGCCCAAATCGGAAATCTTCCTCGCACAAGTCTCCAATTCTAATGCCGTTGAAAATCCCCCCCATGAGCTACGCAAGGCTACCGCTATGAAATCGCTTCTTATCGTTGGCCATGCAGTTGACGGAGTTTCTTAACGAAAGGCCAACGCACCACGCAGAGACTGACGGAAATCTGGATAAATACGCGCACACATAAGCAGTAGCGGGGTTTTTTCTCGGCGGTCTACATCGAGACCAAGGGGTCGACAAGGCTTTCTTCCGACCCTGGAAGCGGTGGCAAATTGGTGGTTTTATTTTCGGAGGCACAGGGAGGAAAAGAAACCCATCAGACTCTGAAGCTGGCAGCAGACGCGGAAGCTTGTCAAGTGGAATTTGTACCACCCCCGGGGTGGTACCATCCTTCCAAAATGCCGGGAAGTTCATCGCTGACATCAACGAAGTCCGTGCATACAGAATCTTGGCATCTGAATGGCCCAACAAGACCCGACCTGCGGCCCTGAAAAATGAAAAAAAGCGATATATTGCAGTCACAGCCAAAAAAGAGTACATACAAATAGAATACGTGCGTTTATAACTCCCTCCTGCGATTGTGCTCCAGCACACCAGGAAGCTCCGCTTCATCATGATGCTCAGCACCCCCTGCCGCAAGAGGCTCGTATAACTCTGCCTCCCTCTCTGCTCTATTTCTTCCGAATATTTGTCGGATCCATCGCCAACCCTCCGGAGTGTCACGTCCATTTCGAGGTTTCGGTGGGTAGAAGTCGCGCATCGATCCAGAGGCGGAGTCATGATCGTCATATGTGCTTAGTGGGATATGATCTTTGAGACCTGCATAGATAATGAATACGCTGAACAAGTTGAAAAACGAGACTTCGGACCTTCTCCAAAAACAGCGTCCATCTCTTCAAGTGGTACCCCTTTCGTCTCCGGGTATACTAAAGGCAATATGCGTATCAGACGATTGGATCAAAACAAGGCACTTACGAAAATATACTGCGGTAAGTCCAACGTATCTGAATATCAGCTTGTGGTGCGGCAAGAACGAAGTAACCCACCAAGTACAAAGCTGCACGCGCAGAAGAAACCATGCATAACGTAAAGTCGCCATTGAATCACCTCTTGGAGGTACGGAGTCGTCTGGCCGACCATCCAATTGAATGCCCAGTTCGTAGCCGTTGACAAGGACACTCCCTTGGCTCGGAATGTCAAGGGCATGATCTGGGAACATTCAGTTAACGTGAGTAGGTTGAAATACGACGAACCTCAGGGGGATATAACCACGGTAACGGACCCCAACTAGAAATTTCTGAAGTAAGAGAGCAGGTGAACAATCAGGGAGGCAGGGTCGTACCTATACCCGAAAGCTGCGTTGAAGATAATAACGCTGCAGACGACGGCTGTCGGTGTCCATGAGGCATCCAGATACATCCAGTAACCCGTTGCGCACAGCGCAAGGCCCATCTAGCAGAAAGTCGGGTTAGAGGGAGTTCAGAATGACTACGGAGGCCATACCACAGTAGCGCCTGAAAGGAGAATGGGTCGACGCCCCCATCGGTCAACTAGATACCACCTAGGATACGGGTTATGGATGGACCATGGAGATGGAAATAATACCAACGGCGGAAGCGTGCTTAAAATGTATAAAATTGAATTGATCCCCGTCATTAAGATCGCTTGGCGGCCTAGCCAGCCAGCCTCTGAAAATAGTTAGAAAAACGGTATCTATCATATCAAGCTTAAAACCGCGCCTTCAAATACACGAGCTATAAATGATGTGTTAAAGGGTATCCAAGATGTACGCTTTCACTGCTGACTCACGAGCATAATATGAGATCACTAGGAGGGGACATCGAGCTCCTCCTCGAGTTGACTAGTGAAGAACATACCATTGATTCCATTCTGTGTGCGGGCGCTTCAGTAAACCGAAAAAACACTGATAGGAGTCACGTACAAGTTGGGCAAAGGCCTGCGAAGACATGGCCAACAATACGCGTCGCTTGTACTTTCTCCACATCACAGTGTATGACCGGCCTTCACCAGATTCCCGCTGAGTATAGAAATCAGCGGGTCAACCATGGGACTCGAATGCCTGATGTTACCTCGGCGACGACCTTGCCCTTGATCTCTTGAAATTCCTCCAAAGCGTTCGAGTTTCTCGAATCTCCCTGCAAATCTGAAAGGACCTGCATACCTTCCTCGTCTCTGTCGTTATCGAGAAGCCACCTGGACGTAGCAGATAAGTGTGAGATATACGAAATGTGGCTCCAGAATCGATACAGCACCTTGGACTTTCCGGGAGTAGTAACGACCCTGCAGCAAGAATCGCACCGATAACGGATTGGAGGGATAGGGGGATTCGCCAGGCTAGGTTGGAACCGATAAACGAACAAAAGTAGTCTGTCCACTAAAAAAAAACTTGAGCAAGAGTCCAAAGAGTGAGTGGACGTACGAACCACAGAAAAGGCGTAACCAACAATGTTGCATGTAAATTCGGCGCACGCGAGGGCTCCTCTCTAGAACTCGTTAGAGAGGATATGTGGAGCTCAGTGACGACTTACGTGATCGGGCGGTGATATCTCGCTTTGGTATATAGGAACGATAGTTCTACGTGGTTTAGCAGATACCTTGTCTGAAAAGGGTACAAACTCACGAAAGTAAACCCACTCCGAAACCGCTCACTACTCGGCCAGCCACCATCGTCCAAAATCCAACCGTGAACGTCTGGATAGCACCGCCCACCGTGAAGATGACGGCCCCCATAAAAAGAGTTCCTCTTCGGCCAATAATATCCCCCACCCTACCTGCCGCTAAGGACGTCACTGGAGCAACGATAAGTTTTGAGAAATATAGGTCGTGTGCTTTGACACACCAAACGCTCCTATCTCAAGCACTGCAACGATCGTCCCAACTTGGAGTGCACTTGGCCGGTCAAAAAAATTGATGAAATGGGGCCCAGTAATAATGCCGGACATGACTCTGGCAGCCAATAAGCGACGGAAGGGGCTCGAAGCAAGAACCAGGACTAACCCTTGGTCATATCCGAACTTCAATTCAATCTGAGTAGAGTCACAAGGACATAATCGAAACAACTCACCAGAAACACGCCCAGACTGGCAAATATCGATACCCCATAGAGCAGCCTCTGTCCAACGAGTCGCCGCCGCGACCTGGGATACGTTGGCGAGAACATCTTAACTTGTGCTGGCAGCACTAGCAGTGGACTCCTCCGCTCGGGAATAAGAGAAATAAACTATGAAAGTAGGCGTCGAATATTCGAAGATGTCGTGATGGTCGAAGAACGCGCCTTCGTGGGCAACGGTGATGACGACAGTGATTTATTCCCACGATCTTTTTAAGCCTGTCGAGCGTCAACGCGTCACGGCCGCCTCTTCGCCGCCTCAGACTGGTCAGTAATCTGACGACTCACTGGCCCAGCGCCCGGTCCGATGAAATTCACGAAAAGTAAGTACAGATATTCACCCAGCTTAATGTGTCGGAGGAGAATTGCAAGACTTCAATTAGGTAAATATAACATGTATTAACCTAAATACCAACCTCACACTCTCCATCCGCGTAAACTAGCATCTGGCGGTGACCAAACATAATTTGATTCAGACGATGTCTAGATGCATGGAGTTGCTTTTTGCAGAAATTTTTCTTTGACCTTGATGCGATTCTTGATGAAGAATCCGCTCTTTTTGATTTACCACTTACAGGCAACTCGTTCGAGACATTGCCCTTAACCTCACAAAGCTGGCTAAAAGCCATGGTCATAGCTGAAATTTCCGTTGACCTGGTTAGCGTGCATGTGTTGAATAATTGCCTTGACTTTGACTCACATCTTCATCAGGTGGGGAGATACTCGTTCACGTCGAAAGTGTAGCGTCTCCGCCTCAAAGACCACTCCCCATCATTCGCCTTTCGGAATATATTTACTAAACCATTCCGCTCAGCCAGAAAATCTAAATGGCCAAGTTGTTGTAAGCAGGGATGGACAGCAGGTTATAGGTGGGATTTGTGAGATTAAACCGGTTCTTGTTCATTGATTTGGACATACGTATTGAAGGAGATTTTTTATTTTGCAAAGATACATAAATTATAAGACTCATGGATGGAGAATCTTGCGAAAATTTACTCCACGCGATTTTGGCGTTCACACTGGTAGTGTTGCCGTCGAATCGAATTGACTTCGAGGTGACTTCGATTCGATTCGGAAATCACACCACTTCGACACTTCGAAGTGAGTCGAAGTCAGTTTGTGATGGCCATCAAAAACAGCCAAAAACGGAAGGTTCGACACACGTGGTGCCGTGCATGTAATATCAAAGACGTGTTTCCTCAAACGCGTCTTTGCCGTTCCTCATCCCCTCCTCCCTCTCTTCCTACATCTCTACCAATACAAGTTAGCTGTCATATTATTAAGATGTTCCTGAAGTACTATTTTCTATATCATATATTTTATTTTATTTTATATGGTAGTCTTGGGACAAAAATCAGATGTCACCCTCGCAAGTATCAAGCCTGGCCGTTTTTTGAGGAATGAAACCGATCTAAATTTTTTACCATGGAGGTCTTGACATCACATTCACCAGGCTGGGACAACACACCCAGCTGTGTTTCAACTCCTCTTCCTTCAGCCGGTCATTACCCATGTACCCAAGCTACTTCCAGTATAGGTACTACCCACCACCATCACCCTCTCCACTTCAGAATGTTCACTCTGCTGTTCTTAATGTCCCGCGTCCACTTCGTCCACCACGCGAGGCTAAGATAAGCTGATTGCGGTGAGTGGTGATGGTGCAGGTACACACAAGCGACGTAAGAAGGATCCACCTGCGCAACCCATTCCGAATCTGGTAGTAGTTACTTTTTTCTGTAGCTGGAATGCTATCAATATGTCTACTTACGCACACAAAGTTGTTTTGCATGCCTCAATTGAGCGAACGATGTGATTGGTTGACGCGGAGCCGGGGATCGCCGAGTTCACTTCGATTCACTTCGAAAGGTCGAAGTGTAACGAAGTCAGTACATGTCACCACTTCGATTCCAGCTGAAGGCAGAACGATAGGCCAAGCCAGATCGACACATGCACAGGGTGGACCCTTAAATTTTCAAAGCGACGTGATGGCTGAGGCCGCTGAGTTCTCACAAGGTGTGAAATTTCAACCTCTGGATTGATGACACCCTATACCACCATAAAATTTGAGAGTCTGCCCTATGTATGTGTCGATTTGGCATGGCCTATTGTTCTGCATTCAGCTGTCATATGGCAACAGGGATCAGCCAGCTTCAAAATCATGGCTAAGACCGATATTTGTACACTGCCGATCATCAATGCCGAAGTTAACTATAATTATTAAATTATGTAACTACTAATATAATATCGCCCATCAAATATTTTCCTCTGGTTATCGATTAATACGACAATTATCGCCAAAGTGTGCAATCCAACGTGCCTATTTGTTTTGTCACTGTACAATGACCATGTTCACCTTCTAGTCTTCGTTGAAACTGGAAACTTTTAATTTCTAGCGTCGCGTCTGAATCAAGACCGCCTTCTTAATTACTTCTCTTCCTCCCATGGTTTCAAGCTGCGCGCTCGACTTACATACCATCAAAAGTATCAAAGAAAGCTCTTCGTCAAACTCACTAGTATGTCGATGATGAGGCATGTCCCTACTTAGATTTGGCAGATGTATAAGAAACGCAAGGCATCTTTTTGAATGGCTGAGGAGGATCTCACGAACGACTGGAATAACCTCATGCACGACATTGAACATCATTTTCTTCGCCGCATCTGACAATACTGTTGACAAAAACCTGCCCCAGCACCTTTTTAATGAAGTTCAAGCAGCCGACGTCCCCATGCCAATGCTGTTAACCACATCATTGTTGAGGCATTTCCACATGTCTGGCTGTGGAAAAGGTGGATAGGTAGGCTTCTGAGAGCTTCAGTGGCAATTGCTGATTTAGTCTGATAGATATTCCCGGGATTCGGAAAGGCGGAGCTCGAGTGCTTCTTTGCGATTATATTTCCCCCACTCATTCGCCCACTGGTTTCATAGGTACCACTGGCATGAAACCCGCTATACGTTGTCTTGCTCGTTGTGGACATATTGCAGGTCTTATCAAGAGGAGACTTGTGGTGTCCTGATGTGCTGTTACTTTGTTTGTTACCACTCCAGCGTTTCTGGCCCTCTTTGACTCACTTATGTACACAGAACATGCTAAGCGAACGACAATGACAGGACTCGATGTCGTATGCACACTGAAACATTCAAAGTGCACGCAATATGGTTTTGGTGCATAAGCCCACCTACATCGGATTTTTGTTGTGAATTTGTTTGCTCTATTGTTTTGAGATGCACAATTAGGCCCAACAGCAGGAGGGGTGAAAATTACGGGTATGTGGTTTTGTCTTGTTCGTCTTTTGTTGGCTGCTAATATGAATGATGCTCCATTCTCTTACATGGACAGTGGTCTCGACTATTTGCCCTGTTTTGGTCATTGGCCGTAAGCCTGACACACACCTCACATTATGCATTGTTTCTGAGCTCTCTTTTTGTCGGTTCCTCCACCAGCTTTCCCGAAGTTGCCGCTTTCAATGCCTCAACGCCTTATCTCCAACTTATCTCCTATAGTGTACTCGCCATATGACATGCTCTCCAACAGCCCTCCCCTGTAATACGTGGTTGTTTTTAGCTCTATCATAAAATTATGTACATAGGAAAGTTTTATTCCTACGAAAATTCAATCATCTGTTGCAGGACAGCAGGAAATATTTTGATGGACAATATTATATTGGGTGACTTTCCGTAACTCAAATCTATAAAAATGAATAAATTTGACCCTTATCGGAGTTTGAAAAGAGAACTTCACAGGAGAGTTTATTGGAGTGAATAAACTGTAACACCAACTGATTAGATTCTATTTGATGTATTTGCTTGCCTTGTACAAACTCACTTCCCTCCCATCTGAGCTGCTCTGAGGTTGTGTAGGCCTGTGGATGGGTTTATTATACTGATTGTTCATCCACCCTGCTGTAAAATTAGACCACACTCTGGGTGAAGCCCAAAAAATCCCAAGTTGAGCTGAACATGGCTGTGGATCAGTGAGTTAGGTGTCAAGAAGGGTGTTTGTAAAGGGAGCAACAGTTTCCAGGAGGGGATTTTGTAGCCATAAGACATTGACACTTCTAATAGACTCTGTAGTGGCTTTGAACTGCAACGAGAGGGAGCAGAATGCCCCAGCCGTAGGAGAGTAGTAGGGGATGAGGTAGAGCTGACTAAGCCATGTGGGAAGGAATCGTACCCAGGAAGGAAAGGTGTCCCCTTGGCAGGGTTGATTCCAGCGTTTGAAATCTGTTTGAGGGGTCTGTACCCTCTGAATAGATTAAGGTTTGTAACTGGGTTCCAACCAGGGACTCCATCAAAGTCAAACCCTTACAAGACTCGGCATCCTGGCAAAGGACCCTAGATTTCATCGATTTATTCAAATCTAGAGAATTTGTGTTACGGAAAGTCACCCATTAGTGGATAACTTCCCATAAGGTTTAGAAACCTAGATTATTTTTCTAAACTGACGTGCCGCCATGCCGTTTGCCAAATGGGTCACAATCTGTCAAAGTTGAACTCCGCTTGTCATCGAACACCCTCTTCTAGATTTTAATCTAGACGAGGCCTCCCCCCCCCCCTTCTAGTTCTAAATCACTTGCATAAACCCTTTTTTCATTGTCCGACAATCAATCCCTGAGCATCCCATCCAAATCAAGCAAGGCATCAAGATCTATCAAGATGCACCAACCTATGTAGCTGGTCTCCTGAAGAACTATTCACTACATCTTTCTTGTATTTCTCGAGAAACAATAGGGATTCAACAGTGGAAGACAGACAAGTCATTTTTCATTTGAACCGGGCTTTGTAGGACAGTTTTTTTCATCATGTTAACAATGTATGCAGCTCTCCTTCAAACCACACACCCAGGCATCCGATTGCACGTAAGTACAGCTTGTCTTCATGTTATTGGTCAGTTCTCCTCACTGAATTCTGTATCAATTGAGGCTGGAGGTGCAGTGGGCATGGAATGAGGTTGAGTAGAGAGATCTTAAATGAGATCTGCGTCACCAAAGAAGAATTGTACAGATTTGTGTTGCTTGGCTTATGGTTTAGAAAAATGACTGAATATATTTTTGAGCTCTGCCCATCAAACATTTAGAGAATAATCTGGGTTTCTAGACCTTATGGGAAGTTATCCAGTAGTTAATTATAATTAACTTTGGCATTGATGATCGGCAGTGTACAAATATCGGTCTTAGCCGTGATTTTGAAGCTGGCTGATCCCTGTTGCCATAGATTCACTTCGGTTCACTTCATGGCAACTCTACACACTGGCAGTGCATTAGTTTACTATGGCAACAGGGAGTGGTCAGCTTCGTTTTCTCAGCAAACGCCGTTATTTGTCCACTTGCCGAGTTGCTGCCGCACATAATTATTACAAAATACTGTTTTCCCATGATAATTACCCTACTTGTGGCTTGTAAATGTGAAGCATCCACTGAAAACAACAGTTCTGAGAGTGCATCAGTGATGATGGGTACACCATTTCCTGCCTATTTAGTTTGGAAATTTGTTTGTCAGCTCTGTATCATGGTACTTAACCTTCTGAATTGTTTTACTGATGTTACCCAGCTCTCAGCCTGTTGCAATCTATGAGGTTCAATCCAGGTCAAAGGATTAGTAAAAAATGCATTGGAATTTTTTTCATCTCATGGTTCCATCTGCAGACTTTGAAAATTTTCAAACTGGTGGCAAGGTAGCTGAGAAAATCTTTTGAATATCCTTACTGCAACTCAAATTTAAGGACTATGGGTATGTATATTTCAATCTCTGACTAGGATTCACTCTACATATTTTCTTGTATTCCAGGAATTAATTGATGAGCTACTGTCCTTTCTTGCTAATGCTACTTCTCCATTACAGTCATGTCTTTACCCTCCATATTCACAGAGTAAATAAAAAATACCTCATTCAAAGTATAACACCTGGGAAAAGCAGTGATTTGAAAATGTACTAGAAGATTTATTCCCTTCTGAGTACTTGTAATTATCACAGGACTTACAATAACTTACCCCACAGAATTTCAATGATACTAAAGGCATTTTAGTTGAAAGTTAGCTTTTTTTATTGTTTTCTTCAGCATGAGGAGTGCTGCAGATTTGTGGTGAAGAGAATCAAATTACTTTCTTCAATCTTAACTGCTGAAGTTTGTTTCACCATTCTTCAACTTTGCACAGTGGCTGAAAAAGAACTTCGAATTTTGACTAATTTTTTGAACAGCATAATGTGACTGGCTGAAAGCTGGACAGTGTTGGTAGAACAATTTACATAGCAGAAGTATCATAACATAAAGATAACAAACAAATTTAAAAAGCAAATAGACAGGAGATTGTGTACTTACCATCTCCGACGCACTCTCAGAACTGTTAGTGCTCAACATTTTACGAGCTCAAGTAAGGTAATTATTGTGGGAAAATGGTATTTTGTAATAGTTATGTCTGGCACGCAACTCGGCAGGTGGACAAACAACGGTGTTTGCCGCGAAAACGAAGCTGACCACTCCCTGTTGCCATCGTTTACAGCTACAGCCCGCACGTTTGTTTGTCTTGGCGACGTACATCAACCTGTACGTTCGCTTGTGTTGGCGACGTACATCAACCTGATGTAGATAAATTATACTTAAGGTGTGTACTCGTCACGAGCAATGAATTGTACTGTCAGATTGTCTCCCTGCATTCAGTATGGCAACAGGGACCAGCCAGCTTCAATATCACGGCTAAGACCGATGTTTGTACACTTGCCGATCAATATGCTGAAATAAATTTACTATTTTATTATATAATATTGATATTGTCCATCACATATTGCGTATATATTTCCAACGCGCCGAATTGCCATACGATGTCCATCTTGTATCTTCGTTACCGGTCCACCAGATGCCTCATTCTGACAGCTTACTACGCAAAACATATGCAGTAGTACGGACCTATCTACTTATGTATAGCATGTTGTATTGTGTATAACTTCCGCACTACATACAAAACATACAATTCTGGCTTGATTCTGGCCTGTAGAACGTCGAGCAGAAAGGTGACAATGAGATCTCGTTGGCCAGTGGTCACGCCTGTCCAGCACAAGGATTAGGATGCACAAAAGGAAGGGTGTTGGGAGACATGCAGTATGCAAAAGGACAGTGGCAACCCAAGGAAAATCGGCGGTGGGTCATCGCATTAGAGGAGTCAAACGCAGGTCCAGACGGTGAGCTAGCCTGTAGAGTAGAAGACTTAGAGTTGGGTTGATTTGAGATCAACGAAGTCACGAGGCAAACGGTCGTGTCGCGCCTCTCAGCATAAACTGAACGTCAACCAGCGCACATCTTCCTAGCACCACAAACAAAAGGATTGAACCCCTCTCTCGGTACACGTTCTTTCAAGTTCCAATGTCTCATCAAGCAATGAGCAGACTCAATGCTGAGTTCACGTTCCTTCGGCGCAAACAAACGATAGTAGCTGGACACCGTGCCGTCCTTGGATGCATGACGGGTTGACAGCCGGGTACCGCTATGGTAGTGTTGCTGTATACATTGGGCTGGATAGTTCACTGTGTCTCCTCTCTATCCCGCACAGTTGCCCGTTGATATACAGGCAGCGGGCGAGCCGACATGGGAACACTTCGGATCGACGAAACTTGGGTTGACAGTGGAGCGGTGAACTCGGGTGGTGGTGGAACGGTGAACTTGGGTTGGCGGCGCAATGGTAGACTGTCGGACACAGACCAGGGCGGTGTGTATGGATGAGTACGGAGGCGCTGAAAGCAGCCAGTTGACCAACTTTGATAAAAAGAAAGATCAGAAACAATATAATAACATCGAGTCACGAGTGTCAGACTTACGGCTGATGGTTAGCCTAAAACAGGGTGAATAAGGAGGGTGCTAAGACTGGCACTGTCCATGTAAGAGAGTAGAGTATCGTTCACCTCAGTTATCAGCCAACAAAAGATGAACAAAATGAAACCACATACTGCACGTCTTGCGTACGGCTCTACTTTTCATCCCTCCTGCCGTTGGGCCTAATCATGCTTCGCGCGCGAAGTCGGTATGCAGAGCCTTGTAACGGCTGATAAGCTTGTTCGAGAAGGTAAGTCCAGCTTCGTCCCGAACGCGAGGGAGCCAGGAATTGTTGTAGTTGAGCGTCCTCGCCATCACGAATGGTGTTGGGTGACTCGGGCAATCGCTCAACATCGGTAAGTTTTCACGAAGAGCTTCTGGGACACCTTTGTTGGTGCATTGAGCTAGAACACAGCTGACAAGTGTTTAGCGGAGGTATGTGACGTGATGTGAACCTTCTCACTGTGGGGTGACAGAACGGGCAGTGAGAGATCAGAGAGAAGGAGGTCTTGGTAGATCAAAAAGCTCATTTCAACGAAGATACGAGATAGGCGCTTTGGAGCGCGATAATTGACATTGCGAAATATTTGATGGACAATATCAATATTATATAATAGAATAGTAAATTTATTTCGGCATAATGATCGGCAAGTGTACAAACATCGGTCTTAGCCGTGATATTGAAGCTGGCTGGTCCCTGTTGCCATAGTTCAGGACCTTGAGTAAGATACACTAGTTTGGTAAAAATCGTCTCGTTCGCCGAGGATTTTGAAGAATAAAATCTGACTCAAAACTAGCCCTAAATGACAAAAGTGAAACACAAAAAGACCCCCGAGGCCCAATAGATATTGAAGCGAGTTTGAAAGCTGCAAAGCAATCGTTAGCAGATCTGGAAATCAGTTCCCCCATTTTTCAATTTATGATTATTTCTTTCTGATCGGCGGTTGATGTTCGGTTGCATGCCAACGGCGGCACTGCCACGCGTCAATTGCTATCAAAAAGTTCAAACTCAGTTTCTACCAGTCTTTTCTGGGCCTCTTCGAGACTCGGTTACTTTCTACCAACCTTGCTGCGTCAGTTGAACTTGGTTTTTACTGAACTCTATATTTGTGGCATCTGCTGCTTGCGCCATCACTGCCTACACTTAACTGTAATTTTCCAACGTCAGCGAGATCCTGGACAAACCAAGGGAGCCTCCAAGACTCCAAGGAAGACATGTTACCCCGAGCTGATAACGATTTGCGGCGTGCGCTAGCGCTCTGATCGACTCCTGAAAATCCGAGGTTGTTCACTCATCAAACGTCGACGGTAGCCCCAATTTTATACTTGGAGGCGCGCCATCACGTTCAACCATGCACTCACTGTCACTGTATTTTTTCCAGGTGGTTTGCCAGAAATTGTTCTTTCGTGTGGTGGAATAATACATATCACAGCACAGTAGCATCAGAATTTGTGGAGTGGGACCCGACCTGGCACATCGGAGATTTCATTTTTGGCATAACCAAATCTCATCGCGCATTTGTTCTCAGAAGGCGACGACCCTCTATTACCCCTGAATCTGGGTTCTCGACTGGTTGTGACCAACGTTATGGGCGCAATCTTTCTTCACAAGATTTTTTCTCTTCCCCTCCACCTCTTCGAATGCCAGCATTAGCAGAGGCCAAATCCCGCTTCTCATTCTAGCTCAACCGATTTGATTCTCCAACGTCGTTACACGACACCCCACGCTCTTTACCTCTTCGGTTCTATCAAACCCCTATGCGCGTCCGACACACACGCGCTCGACGCCTCCTTAGTGACCGAACTCTTGAAGTACGAATACCACCTATTCCTCTGCCTTCTATCCCTATCATATCTCCCCTCCTCGCTGGCATTACTGGCAACGGCAACGGCAACAACGGGAATGGGAATGGGAATGGTGGTTCACACCCTGCTCCGAGTCCTGTGACCACCCCAGCACAAACCCCGCCTACGAGCGGCGGGACTACCACTACCGGTGGCTCCACATCCTCTAGTGGTTCGACCTCGTCTGGCGGAGCGACCAGTGGCGGAAGTACTGGAGGATCGACCAGCGGTGGAAGTAGTGGGGGAACGACCAGTGGCGGAGGTACCAGTAGCGGAAGTAGTGGGGGAACGACCACTGGAGGAACAACCAGTGGCGGAAGTACCGGAGGTTCAACCCCAGTTAATGGTTCTCCTGCTGTAGGTGTATCTACGCCAGGTGGCAGTTCTGATCCTGCTGGTGGTTCTGCTGGTGGCTCTACTCCAGGTGGCACCTCTTCTCCTGCTGGAGGCTCTTCTCCGGCAGGTACTTCGAACGGCGGGACCCCGAGCTCGGGCGCAGGTTCCACTTCGACTGGTTCAGCGAGCACTTCCGACGGTACTCCAGGCACTGCGGGATCTGGAACGGGCAGCAGTGATGGCACTTCCCCGTCTTCCCCATCTGTGTCATCCTCCGCTGGTGGATCAGCCAACGCGGCCAATCTTCCTGGCGGCGCCTCAGAACGCAAGAGTATTTCTGCCGTAACAAGCACGATCACTGACAGTCACGGACACGCCATTGCCACTACCATAATTACCCCAACAGCATCCGAAAATCCCAGTTCCTCCTCGGTTTCCCCGACAGACGGTGCTGCAAAATCAGGGCATTTATCTGCAGGCGGTGTCGCCGCCATTGCAGTCATCCTCTTCTTGTTCGGCCTTGGCATTACCGTCATTCTTCTCAGGAAAAAATGGGCTGAGCGTCGTCACGAGCGCAGAAACCGGTGGTGGTTCGCCAGGAGACGTACCTCGCAAAACTATGACGATGATAGTAGTGTCGAGTTTGCTGGGGGTAACTCGGCCCGAAGCAGTTTCGCAACTACGGTTGACCACGCTAACATTCCTAGCTCACACCTCAATCTCTCCGACGTCATGCCTCCTGTTCCACCGATGGCGCAGATCCGCCACAATCCGAACGCGCCCGTTCTCGTACTCCAAAGCTCACACTTCAACGATTTCCCCTTTGATCAGAGGCGCTTTTCGATTGGGAGCGCCGAATCGCATGTCTCAACCGATACGCAATTTCTCGTCGTGCATCACCGGGATAGCTTGAATATCGAGACGCCCCTGTCAAGCTCTCGTCCCTTTTTAAATTCGGAATCCTTTGCATTTCCCAAGCCACCTTCGGAAGCCGCCACGGGGTCAAGACCGTCGAGTAGTGCTTCGTTGGCAATGAGAAGCCCCACGCAGAGCAGTGCCTTCTTTCCCTCTTCACCGCGTCCTTCGACTGGTTCCCATTACCCAACCTCCCCTCCTGCATCACCGGTTATCCCACTATTGACTCCCCCCTCACCTGCTTCCGGAGTCTTCGACCCATTTTCTGACAAACATGGCCTCATCAGCAGTGATCCTTTTGCAGACCAACACCCCCCTCTTGTTCGCCCAAATCACTCGGCCTCAGGCGAATTCTCCGAGATAGAGATGATTCGTCGCCCATTTGTCCCGACACGGGAGGACGAGGTTGGTGTGGAGCCAAACGAACAAGTTCGTATTCTGCAATTGTTCGACGACGGTTGGGCAAAAGTTGAGAAAGTGAAAAGCTTCGAGGCGTCGAAAGGCAAAGAAGTTGAGGGGACCGAGGTTGAGACGGGCTTGATTCCAATAGATTGCTTGAGAGAGCCCGGCGTTGATTTGCCCACTTTTTTCGTCAAGAAACAAATCAGTGGTTATACCTCGCCTACCCAGAGCACCTTTGGGTTCTAAGGTTTTTTTTCTTTCTCTACTGTCACTACGGGTGCTAATCAACCCTCACAGCTGTTGGAATGCTATCCATAATTCGGTGCTCAGCTACTCGACGCTCTCTTCATTCCTGCTTCCCATCACTCTTGTAAATTTTTCCAACCACATCATAATACCCTTATCTATTCCTTTATTTCCCTACTTCCTGTACATTTCTGTTACTGTCCGATTTTATTGCCATTCTCCCATTTTTTCTTCTTTTCGAGACGGCTTTCGTTGACGGTCCATTCTTTTTGCCTTTCCGTGGACTTCATAACATGACCTTCTGTTATTCATCTTCGACGGCCAGAGCCCTTTCCCTTCTCATATTCATATCGTCAAATACTACTCCCTGGACTCTTTGTTACCCGTGTTTGTACGCCATAGAATACCCCGGAAGAAATTTAGATTCTGGCGAAATTCTGATTCAGATGATTACTGTGAGGGGGTGTGTGAGGAGCTTACAGGCATCCCAAGTCCAAATGCCAGTTTGAGGTGACGCTCGATGAAGGGCATTTTGGGTTCAAGCCACGATGGTCACGTGACACACTTTCTGGTGTTCTTCTGATCATTGTCAGATCAACTCGCAACCAACGCACAACAGATGTTGTCGAGAACAGACGACGAAATGGACGTCGATGAGGACTTCGTTGAGGGCGTAACCGACGAAGACAACGACGGCTCGGCATCAAATTCAGAAGAAGACGCCGAAGGCGAGGATGACGAAGAGAACGAGGACGATGCACCGAACCCCGAAGAAACGTACGCCGAGAAGGAGATTGAAGGAGATTTCGAGTGCGCAATTCTCTATAACTCATAATTCTGCTGAT